CCAAATCCACTCCCTCAGGCGATGACCTTGAACGGCGTAAAGACCTCACCGCTCTCGTTCATGGCCCCCTTAAGATTATTGAATAGTGGCCCAAATTATCGTAAGGAGGTCTTAGGTTAATTAGTCCCAAAATTGAACCAATTGATCAAGAATACTCAATTATCATGATAAATACTTAATCATCAATATGTAATCAAACATGTTAATCACAACAAAGAGTTCACAATCATCAATCTATCTAGACTAGGGTTCTAATCATCCAAGTGAAAGGATAATCTACTCCATAACTAGAGAAAGAACTACAACTGAGAAGAAGGAAAAGCTCTTGGAAAGATGATTCGCTCTTTGGCAGTTAGTGAGATTCAACATATATAATATAGCCTTATTATTTTAACTCCATTAAAATCGATCCCTCTACTGTTTCAGTATAATTGCAGATCGATCTAGCTGGCCAACACTGTAATGTAAGGAAAGCAAGTTGTGGAAAAGGGGAAGAAGACAAGTTGGTTTTGGTTCAATCTCCCGTTTCCATTCCAGGCAAAACTCGGAGTAAGCATTTTCTTCCTGTGAACCTGAAAACAGACCAAGTCCAAAACAAAAAGGCCGGGTAGTGAATCGGCAACAACCCAGCTGGTAGCTAGCCGATTACGCTGGAGTGGCTCTCTTTTGTTTTCTTTCTTGATAGAGACCAGTATTTAATTTACGCATATATATGCATGCAGCAGCAACTTGATCTCAAGTCTGGCCAAACAAATTGAAAACCGACCAACTGGAGAATGAAACCAACTGTAGTGCCCATCACTATCATTATTATCTCACTCATACTTACGAAAGCAACAAATTCGTTTCCATGATGACGTCGTGATATTCTAGAAAAAGTGTAAAAATCTGAGCCCTCTAGAGTCTAGACTTATGGTTGGTCAATGTGGATATAGAGTCGTCGGAATCATTACCGTTGTAAAATTCGTTAGAAACCATCCATTCGCATAAATAACCAGAAGTATAAGCCGGAAAAAAACAATACAATCAAATCAAATCTTATCATTGGAAGGGGAAAATAATGTCAGATGCTTCGTAAAAGTAACCTGTCCAACCAACCATTAACATAAACTACTCATCAATCATATCCTCATAAGTCATAAGTAAACAAACATAGACCACAACCACCTTTTTATAAGTAAACAGATACCATGTGCTAGACAAGTAAAACCAACCATAAAATTCTCATCATATCCCCAAAACTGAACAAACATATACAATTTTAAGTTTCAAAAATTAACCAACATTGACCATACTCAGCCCAACATATATGCATGCATGATAAAAGCAAAGTGATGGTTTTGGAAGTGAACTTTGGCCTTCAAAATTCAAATGGTTCAACGATGTAGTCTGCGACAAGAGTTTTTGGCTCTCTGCCTGCGTGATCCCTTTGTTGGGCGTGTGATGACTGATTAACAACTAACTAGATATATATGGGGAGTTTATAAGAGGATTAAGGGTTTTATTTGATGATTACTAAAGGAACAAAAGAGAAGGGATCGACCAAGGGAAATGGAAGATCAAGTAATCAGGGAGATTTTAGTCACTTAGACTAACTATGCAATGAGAAGTGACAACCAACTAGGAATGGCAACGTATCAAGTCGGAGCGGATAGTGCATATCTATTAACCTACTTTGAGGGTGATGATTTCGATATGACTCGTTTTACCCAATTTGTTTCATCTGTTTTGGGATGGATAATACCCGCACCGTAGATGGGGCATGTATGAGTACTCGCCTCGACCTGATGACCTTGCCAATTCTTGACTTGTTTTTGCCTAATTACATTTAACTTTACCCAAATTCTTGACTTGTTTTTGCCAATTCTTGACTTTTCGGAATTTACTTTTACTATCTCATATTTTAGCTATAATAAAGTTGCAAGTAGGTGAAAATCTCAATTTCTCGAATAATCTACCTACACTTATTATGTTATAGTTTGTTTCTTGATTTTTTTTTTTTTTTTTGAAAAATCAACATTTCTAATACTTACCCTACAAATTACATCCACATATGGGCCGACCTACCCCGACCCATGCTTCATGATAATTTAGTAATTTGCTCAACCTGGACCATACCTATCATGGGGCGGGTAGCCGGGTATGGATATCGAAATACGTGCCTCGACCTGCCCTATTGTCATTCCTACTCTACACAAAATAATTCGAGTTTTACTTACACTCATACACATACAAATAACAAAAATCATATCCATATTCGATCGATTTCAAATATTCATAATTATCCACGGAGAATAATTTCTCTTTATATTTCCAACCATTACAATAAACTTCCATCAACCATACTTCTACCATCAACCATATCCCATAAGTAAACAAACATAGAGCACAAACTTCCTTTTTATAAGTAAACAAATGCCAAAAACCACCATAAATTCTCATCATATCCCCATAACTGAATAAACATATACAATAAGTTTCAAAAATAAACCAACATGGACCATACTCGGCCCAACATATATGCATGATCAAAGCAAAGCTCGAGATGGTTTTGTGTATTTATTTCGGTTTGGTTATAGCCTTAGTCGGCTCTCGATTAGCTGATAAGTATGAATCTTAATTAATTGTTAAGCACTGTATGCTTATCGTTAATCGTACCATTTATAATAGTCACTTAAATGTAATTACATAGTCGGTTCTCAATTATTTTGTCGGTTAACCAAATTACCATTAACCAAGTGATTCGGCAACGTTATACCCAACCAATTGGTAACCTAACCAACAAAAAACCTCCTTTTTTCAATTGTGCATTTTTTGTGGAGTTTTTCCTACTCCTCTTTTTTAAATTCTTATCATTGAATAAAAAATAATTTATTATAGATATCATCTCATAGTCAACTCAATCCAATACAAGTACACATTAACATCATTCTACCGTAATATTTGATTAAGAAAGCATACATGAAAAAGATATTCAACAACAATTACTCAACTCATAAACCAACATGGAAGGTCAAATGTTACTGATTGTTGTCGAGCTAATGTGCACAAGTCCAACTTTGTAATGTACTTCTTCTAAAACCCTTCCTTGAAATTATTCTCATTAGAACTTAAGTCACTATTACAACTAGGGTAGACAAGGGATATTGCAGGCCTTCAAACATTTCATTATTTTCGGCCTATGCTTGTGACTCGTCGATGCCTATTACTTTATGTCCTAACTACGAGGATGGTCTATAGCTAAATTTGGTTATAGAGAACCAACCATTTAATTTTTAATCAATTATCGATATTACCGTTAACCACCTGTTCCGATTTGGTTATCGGATACACCGAGTTAGTAAATACTCCGTTTAATACACGTATATGTACCCGTACGTACTTTATCCGTTTAAAACTTCTTTATCCGTATTATTGTCAAGTCGTTTCTTTTTTGACCGTTCATTTGATGGCTCCCGTATTAAACACGTTTAAAACCCGTATAACACGTTTAATATCCGTATTTAATGAATCAAATTACGAACTTTACTATTATTTATATATTTATTTATTTTTAAAATAATTAATTTTATATATTTATGACAATTAACGTACTATTAAACGTAACATTAGCATAGAAACGAAGTAAAATACCCGTACGTATTTATACGTAACTTTCTCGTACCGTATTTTACTAACTATGCTAATAGGATAAACGTTTACCAGCACTAGTTTTGTGTCTATTGGGAAGTGAACTTTGACCTTCAAATAGTTCAACAAATGTAGCTCTTCCTCAAGAGTTTTTGGCTTTCAAATAGTTCAATATGGATAATAATTTCTCTTTATAATTTCACCAGCATGTTAACAATTATACCTATATTCCCATTATATAAGTGAAAAAAATATATCAATAAATTACTGTAACAAAGAAAATGAGTTAAAACAATATAATTTCATAAAAATATTAAATGTATGATAAATATTAAATCTTTTGAAAAAATAATTATCATTTAAACAAAATACATATGAATGTGTATAATCGGACGGATTCAGTTGGATAATGAAAAAACTATGCCCTCCTATCATATGCAATATTCGAATTCAAATTTTATCAATACCCATTAAAAATCATTCGGTTCAAATTTTATCATACACCAATAAGTTGAATTCGAACAGATATCCATGAGTACGGTTATTTTTTTCATCCCTACAACCAGCTAGGGGAAGGAAACGTTGGATCCATACCAGACCATATATACGGTTTGTGGTCCAAACCAAGAGGTTAGAACACAGACCATGAACAATACCATATACTATACGGTTCAGAGCATACCAAGCCTGTATGTCGCGGTCCAGTACAGTCTGGACCAGGCAAATCATGTTGAACTAAATTTTACTCTTCTTTGTCCCTCCGATCCTCCTCGGTTCCATAAGAATAAAAAGTTCAGTGTTCAATATCCTAGTGAAACAAAAATTTGGTGACCATAATTATTAATTAACTAGTGAAGAAATATGAGGGGAGAAGTGTTCTTTTTTGATTTTTTATTCTCGCTCCAGTCTCCACTACTCTATCCCGTATCCATTTAAATAAAATACATAACAAATAACTTTGTCTCCCTCTTCATCTTTGTCCTATCGCTTCTCTTCCTCTCACGGGTAGTCTGGAAGATTCTCATACTCAATCCCCACTGCAACGACGTCAAGATTGTGATGAACAATTAGGTTGGTCGCTTCACTCGCCATAATTTCTCTTATCTTACTCATGTAAATAAATTTTATTTTGCATTTCTATATCATCGACTCTGAATCCTAGACATGACTGGTGGAGATGATTTTTCCATCTTTTCTTGTTTTTGCATGGTTCTTTCATTAGGAGATAACACAAAGGGATCACTTGAGTAGTCTTTTGCTTTTCAGTTAGATGAAAAATCAATAGATTTGTTATGCTTGTAATGAGGGTGGGGTAGATCACGAGAGCAGAGCTTGTGGTGATCGTCCATGGGCTCCAAGTTGCTAGGGAGATGGGAATTCGGAAGTTGGAGGTACAGACCGACTCGGCAATGGCGCTACAATTAATTGTAGAGGCGGGGGAACATCACCCTCACCTTATTTTGGTTCGCGAGGCTAGGAGGCTCGTGAATTTGGACTGGCAAGTTCGGATGCTCCACATTTACCGAGAAGGAAACACCGTTGTTGATTACTTGGCTAGCGTAGGGCATGGTCTCATGCCGAGAAACCACTCTATAGACAATCATTGTTCTGAGTTGAACTACTGGTTGTATTTCGATTTGGCTAGGGTTCAGACCCCTCATTTGGTCGTTAATAATTAAGAGTTGGGGCGCTCCTAGCGCTCCGTATCCTACCCATAAAAAAATCTAATAGTACGAAGATCATATTGTTTGCTCGCCATGGTTAGATTGATCGGGCTTGGCTAGTTCTTTGAAACATAGAAATAGATATTTAAGTGGTCGTTGGGTTTTGGTGATTGTTTGGTTGGGATAGTTACAATGCATTGTTTTTTATTTATTATTTTTTGAATTTTCTGCACAAAAAATACATGCATTGTTTGCTTGATTTGACACAAACTATCACTCAAAATGAGTGATAGTTAAATCTCAACTTTTGATTGAGATTGTTGTTTGAAATTGTTGGGTCTTTTTCTTCTTTCAACTATGTATCTACCTTTTCATGTGTGTTGCATTATTATATTTAAAACAAAGGGTAAAAGTGACATTTCACTCAAAAAGGAATATAACCTATTTAAATACTACAATAACTATCATAAAAACCAAAGGGTTAATACCTTAGGGGTCGTTTGCTTCATGGATTTAAAAATGAGGGTTTTGTAATTTAAAAACCCAAGGATTTATCAAGGATTTGGGGCATCATGGATTTGTATCAATCCTTTGTTTGTTAGGATGTTTTTATCATGGATTTAAAGGTGTGGGATTTACTACTTGAATTCAAAAATTACATTACTGCCCTTTTCTATACGTTTGACATGTTTATAATATGTACACAAAACAAGGACACAACTTCAAAATTACCTTACTATCATTTTCTATATGTTTGACATGTTTATGATATGTACACAAAACAAGGACAATACATACTAATAAGCATAATGTTGCCACATGGACAATAATAATAAACGAGAAAATTCCGTTTTAACTTTTAACGTAACATAATCAATTACCAATTCTTTGTCCTCCTTTTCAAAAGTGACATATAACAACATATATTGGAATCGGGAGAACAAAAAATTACACGTTCCATGAAAAGGTCAAAGAAAACTAGAACACAAGAAATGATATAAAAAATCTAACTCATGTTTGCACATTAATTGAACATTTATATTATTCATTTATTGTTAATTATAATGTATAATAGTTAAATTTGAGGGCAACCTTGGAATATTAAAAGTGCATGAGGGTATATGGGTAAAATCTCATCAAGGATTTATGTCATATTCCAAATCCCACATCAACATGTGGGATTTATAAGTCTGTGGGGTCCACGGATTTGGACCATTAAAATCCGTGGGCCCCACGGATTTGGTCTCCAAAAAATGTGCAAGCAAACAAAGGATTGTACCTAAATCCTTGATAGTTGGTTTTTTGGTACCAAATCCATGTACCAAATCCTTGAAGCAAACGACCCCTTAGTTTGGCCCGAACTATAGACAAACTTTATACTTTGGCCCGTGGTATCGGAAATTGTTATTCTGGCCTAAACTATATAGCATACTTTCTTATTTGGCCCGGAGGCGGGTTTGACCGTCAAATTAGACAGTCAACCAAGTTGACTGTTAGTCAAGGTCCACCTCACTTGCCACATCATCTATTAGGGAATAAAAAATTAATTTTGTATTTTGAATTTTTTTACTTTCTAATAATAAAAATAATAAACGAAAAAAATAATTAAAAAAGCTCCCCAAATTATTTTTATTTAATTTTAGAAAGTAAACAAAACTCAAAAATTCAAAAAATAATATTTTTTTATTCCTTGATAGCTGACGTGGCAAGTGAGGTGGACTTTGACTAACGGTCAACCGAGTTGACCGTCTAATTTGACGGTCAAACCCGCCTCCGGGCCAAATAAGAAATTATGCTAAATAGTTTAGGTCAGAATAGCAATTTCCGATACCACGAGCCAAAGTAGAAAGTTTGTCTATAGTTCGGCCAAACTAAGGTATTAACCCAAACCAAACGATGTAAACTACAATACCCCAATTTTCTTATATACATATATATTATTATGCATGCATTGACACCAATACATGTTATTTTTGCTTGGATTATTGAGTAGTGGGTCACAGTTTGGTCCCGCCTTTGTCCCAAAAAACATTGTTTGCTACCCCAAACGAGCAATTTTTTTATTCATCAAAACTTAATACGATCATAACTTTATGCTCTGTAACCAGAACGTCATAAAAAAAATGATTCCGCATAACTTTTGAAGGACTACAAGTTTTAAAAGGAAGAAATTTTATTAAAAAATTATGCAGAATAAAAAAAAAATCAGTATAATCGGATAACCGAGCACAAAGTTACGTTTGTTTGAAGTTTCGGCCTAGGTTAGACATTTTATCGGGAAAAAAAAATTGTGCAAACTGCGGGGTGGTGCATAAGATTTTCGTTCCTACCGCCAACAGATCGCATGCAGTGGACGCGGTGCGATTGACCGTGGCCCCTCCACGCGGTTTTCATGCAAACCGCCAGATGGAGGCTGCAGTTTTTGGGAAATGATGATATTTTTGGAAATTTTCGGGAATAAGTGATATTTTTGGAATCTTTTAATTTTTGGGTGATATAGTTAGAAATTTTCATTATGGACCGGATCTTCAGCTGTGTGTTTTTTACTTTTTGTTTTCCATAATGACCCGGCCCAATACAATCCAAAGTCCAAACTACCAGCCATTTAGCCATACAGAAATGGCCCAAATGGAACAGAAAATAGCTGGAAAATAGCCAGACGAAAAGAAAACCAAAAGGGCAAAAGAAGGTATACGGTCCTCGATTTTCTCACAGAGAATCGCCCCCATCTCCATTCCCTTTCCCCCTACATTCTCTCTGGTTCCCTCCTTCGTCACACTTGTCACCGTCCATGGGGACAGCCAAGGGATCCTTCTTCCTGTTGATTCAGCAGTCATCATAGATCATTCAACTCAGTCGACTGAATCAGCTGCCGGCGGAGGAGGAGAAGGGAAAAGCTGAAGAGATCCCCAATTCCCCCAGCCCCCTCTCATGGATGACATCAACGACCTCTTTTTCTCCGCCCCTGCCGACGACCACCGTAATCACAGTCACGATGCCGCCGCCGCCGCCGCCACCGATTCCTTCTCCTCCTACTCTTCCCCCAAAATCTTCGACCGATACTTCTCCTCCTCTTCCGACGACGAGGACGAGTCACGGCCGTCCAATTCCTCCTCTATGGAAGCTACCACCAAGCGCCTCGATTACATGATTCAGTTCCTTGATCGCAAGCTCTCTTCCAGCGACGAAGTTCACAGCCTCCACAATTCACTCCCGCGCGACCTCAACCCGACCACCAGCAACAACAACCACCAATCGTCTACCTCATCGTCGTCAGCGGCGCTGCCGGAGTTCTGCGGCAGAGGAGGCGGCACCGGAATTTTCAGGCTCCCAGTCCGAGCCGCACTTCATCCGTCCCGTCCTCCTAGTCTTGAAGTTCGGCCGCATCCTCTTAGGGAATCTCAAATTGGATGCTCCTTGCGGAACATTGTCACCTCCAGCTCTCAGCTGTGGGCGGGGAAGGAAGATGGGGCGCTCCAGGTCTGGCAGTTCCGCGATTTTTATGGAGGGACTGAGGATACTGCGCCGTGCCAGGAGTCTGCGGTGACGGGATCTGGGGTTGTTTGTTTGGTCGCCGACGAGGGGAGTCGGGTGATATGGAGTGGGCACAAGGATGGGAGGATCAAGTGCTGGAAAATGGATCTCGTTTCCAATGGTTTCAAGGAATGCCTGTCGTGGATTGCTCACAGAGGGCCTATTCTCTCCATGGTCATTACTTGCTACGGTTAGTGTAACTCGGTTATTCATATTATTATCTGCTCGTGATTTTCCCCCGTATAGGTAACATTTCCTTGTTATATGATCAAGCTGTACCTTGGAAACTAAGTAATTGTTACTTTATATGATATGATATGATGAATAGATTTTGACAGTAAAACCTTTGTGGATGTCATGTCATTAATCTGAGAATGTCAAAGGAACAGATGAAAGTGTGATAGATGCCATTGCCCAGTAGGTGCTGTCATCCACTTCATAGGTCCCTTGTTGTTAGACTTTATGGGATTCCTGATCTTGTTTGAGGGAAGAAATTCTTGGTCTTTTGGCTGACAAGGATGAGAATCTGAGGTGGTTTATGTAGGTTTAATGGCTGATATCAGGAGGATAGGGTTTATAGATGTATATTGTTTGGATTGAAAAATGAATGCTGAGAAATAAGAAATAACAGTGGTGTATGCTATTTCTGATGCATTTCTAGCTTAGGCTAGTCATCACATCTGGGCTTGATTGTGTCTTATTTTTCATCATGTCTAGTGTTGTTCATAATCGGGTCATCTATCAGAAAGTTGGGCTTTACATTGTGATTTCACATCTGTAATTGGCCTGTGTTAGTTCAGGTGACTTATGGTCAGGTTCTGAGGGCGGTGCTATCAAGATATGGCCATGGGAAGCGATTGAAAAATCATTTTCCTTCACACCAGAAGCAAGGCATGTGGCTGCATTGGCGGTGGAGAGATCATATATTGACCTGCTGGGCCAAGTAAACCTGAATGGCTCGTCGAATGCATTAACTTCTGATGTCAAATACTTGCTATCCGACAATTCTAGAGCGAAAGTGTGGAGTGCTAGTTATCTGTCGTTTGCTCTATGGTATGGTTCTCAATATCTGTTGCTATGGAACCTGTCTTCAAGGAAGTGAAGACTATATCATTCTTTGCAGTATGAAACCAACTCTGTTTAACTAGCTTAGGTTCTCGCTCTTCTCTGTATCTGACAGAGATTTCCCTCTGTAGATCACGTAGGACTCCGGTGCGTTGACCACACTTTTTGGAGAAATCTGTTTGGTTTCAATTATATCATGTAGTACCTACTACCTAAAGCCACTGAATTCAATATCACCTTGCAAAATTTTCAGAGATGGTATTAACATTTCATCTTTATGCAATCGATGAGTTGTTTGGATATCAGTTTAATCTTTTTTGTGTATATCCTTGAATAAATCACCGTTTCATGTTGCTGACAAAAGAAAATCCTTCAAAACATTACTCTTTCATGTCTGTTTTAATAATAAAAGTGGTTTGGTATGTAGATTTTGGTTATGATTTAAACTTCTTGACCCTCCACCTGGATCCTCAACCAAGAGAAATATTTTCACTTTGAAATTTTTGGTTACTTTGCAGGGATGCTCATACAAGAGAGTTGCTTAAATTGTTCAATACAGATGGCCAGTTAGAGAGAATGGATATGCTACCAGGACAGGATTTTATTGTTGAGGAAGATATCAAGATGAAAATTGTAGCTGGTTCCAAGAAAGAGAAGGTACAAAGCTCATTTGGTTTCTTCCAGCGTTCTAGGAATGCGATAACTGATGCTGTTCGTCGAGTTGCTGCAAAAGGTGGATTTGCAGACGATCGCAGAACTGAGGCACTAACGATGACGGTAGATGGAATGATCTGGACTGGCTGTACAAATGGCTTAGTTGTGCAGTGGGATGGGAATGGAAATCGGTTACAGGATTTTCAGTACCATTTTAGTGCTGTTCAATGCTTTTGTGCATTTGGGTCACGATTATGGGTAGGCTATGTTAGTGGTGTGATCGAGGTTCTGGACCTTGAGGGTAATCTACTTGGAGAGTGGGTAGCTCACAGTAGTTCGGTGATTAAAATGGCTGTTGGTGCTGGTTATATTTTCTCTTTGGCTAATCATGGTGGCATCCGCGGATGGAATGTTATGGCTCCTGGACCTCTTGACAGTATACTGCGATCAGAATTGGCAGGAAAAGAATTCTTATATACAAGGATAGAGAATTTGAAAATTTTGACTGGTACATGGAATGTAGCAGAAGGAAGAGCTACCCGTGACTCACTTGTTTCATGGCTAGGTTGTGCAGCTGGGGATGCTGGGATAGTTGTTGTTGGGTTGCAAGAGGTTGAAATGGGAGCAGGAGCCCTTGCAATGTCTGCAGCAAAAGAAACCGTAAGGCGTCCTATTCTTTTATCTGCAATAAGTGCTATGTTCATGTTTCTTCTTTCCCATTGATAATATAAGCCATCTTATGTAAATTGTGTAAATCCTCTCTTTTGACGGCAGCAAAAGAAACTGTCATAAATTCTTAGTAACTAAGAACTGACAGGAGAATTTTCGAAGAGAACAATCTGAATAATACACAGGCTGATATGTTACTAGGGTTAACAAGAGCACAAGCCTCATGGACCTTTGGATGCCTACGATCAAAATATAGAGACGAGAAACTTGAGAAAGGAAAAACAGAACTACAAATGCTGCATCATACTAAGCTTAAGTTACAGTTCATCTGCTTCTAGTTACGAGGCTTGAGCTCACCAAGATCACATATGTGATCAAGCTCTCATGACTCCTGTCCTGTACTGTTCTATTTCTATGTGTCTTCTCATTTTCATTCAATTGTCTGCACTTTCTTCCGATTTCAGGTAGGACTTGAAGGTAGCTCTGTTGGGCAGTGGTGGTTAGATATGATAGACAAAGTATTGGATGAAGGGTCAACATTTGAACGCGTTGGTAATAGGCAGCTCGCAGGCTTGCTTATCTCTGTATGGTTCGTATTCAAAACTACTGCTGAGCATACTTTTGGAAATATGGCTGTTTCACTGTAGTAGGCTGCTCCACTATGCTTTTGCCTGGGTAAACCTGCTCTTTGGATTTCTGTAAACTAATTGGATATTTGTGTCTCAGGGTTAGAAGTAATCTTAAACCTCATGTTGGAGATGTTGATGCTGCCGCTGTCCCATGTGGATTTGGGCGTGCAATTGGTAATAAGGTACATCTTACTCGTGTCTGTTATTTGGCCAAGTTGCCATCACCCAAATGAAATATTTTTTGTTGCTCTACATTTTCTAATTATTCCCCTGCTTCTTGTCACATGTTTTCCTGTACAGGGAGCTGTCGGTTTGAGGATTAGAGTTTTTGATCGGATCATGTGTTTTGTAAATTGTCACTTTGCTGCACATCTAGATGCTGTAGGGCGTCGTAATGCTGACTTTAACCATGTTTATCGGACGATGTCATTTGGCCGGCCATCTAACCTCTTCAACGCTACAGCAGCTGGTATGGTGCCGTTCCTGCTCTTGTCTTGCTCGATTGCCTGCTCAATGTGTTTATTTTGGCTTGTTCATAGATCTGGATTGCTATTGCTCCTTTCTGTTGCAGTTGGTACTTCATCTGCTGCCCAAATGCTTCGTGGTGCAAATGTATGTACAACTCTTCTGTAATTTTTGCATAGTTTGCCATCCTAAGTTTTTGGGGGTTGGTTTCCATATTGTTCGAGGTCTAATGATGTTAAAAGCCCATGCAGGTTGTCAATGCCAACTCTTCAGAACCAATCCCGGAGCTATCTGAGGCAGATATGGTTGTCTTTCTTGGCGATTTTAACTATCGGTTGGATGGTATTTCTTATGATGAAGCAAGGGATTTTATTTCTCAAAGGTCTTTTGATTGGCTTAAAGAAAGGGATCAGCTACGAGCAGAAATGGAAGCTGGGAATATCTTCCAGGGAATGCGTGAAGCAGTCATTAGATTTCCCCCTACATACAAGTTTGAAAAGCACCAGCCTGGTTTAGCAGGTACGTAGACGCTGTACTCTTTGATTTCCAGCAACTGGTTGCTCTGAATCTTGTACTAGTTAAGCTCTACTTGATTGTTATGTGTCAGTATGGTCATTCCCCTATTATTGAACTCATGACAGCAATTATTTTCTTTTGCGTTCATATATCACCTTAATTGCCAATTTTACTAGCGTCCCTGATGCCACTGTGCTTCTGTAGGATATGACTCTGGTGAAAAGAAGCGGATCCCTGCTTGGTGTGACAGAATACTATTCCGTGACAACCGGTCAGCTGGAGTGTCTGAATGCAGCTTGGAGTGCCCTGTTGTCTGTTTTGTATCACAGTAAGTTCTCTTCCTGCCATTAAGGCTCTGTTTGGGGCAGATGGAACTGTTGTAAATTGAGCTTCTTGCTGGAGCAATTTTCTGTCTGGGGTAGACTCACGCTTTATGCTGTTATATAGGTATGATGCTTGCATGGATGTGACAGACAGTGATCACAAGCCTGTACGTTGCATCTTTAGTGTTGATGTTGCTCGAGTGGATGAGTCGGTGAGAAGGCAAGAACTTGGAGACATTATGAGCTCAAGTGTGGAAATCCGATCAATTCTCAAACAGCTATGCAAGATCCCAGAAGCAATTGTCAGCACAAATAACATAATCCTGCAAAATCAGGACAGAACCATTTTGCGGATAACAAACAAATCCAACCAACTTGACGCTCTGTATGAAATCATATGCGAGGGAGAGGCCACAGTTGACGAGGAAGGACAAGCTCGGGATCATCGTCCAAGAGGTTCTTTTGGGTTCCCTCAGTGGCTTCAGGTAAACAAACTAAACCCTTCTTTGTCCCTCGTATCCTCCTGTTCCATTATAAGCACAGGCATTAGTCAATAGAGTACGCCTGACATTCTTAGCAGTTAACCAAAACCGATATGAATAATAAGTGATACAAATTTTTTCATGTTTTTTTGGGGTTGATAATGCGGACGATTTTTAGTTAACCAGAAAACCGAAACTGGTTAGTCATCCTCTGTACACGGTGCATTCAACTTGTGACTTGAAACTGACATCGGATCTCTTTGTATAAATACCAGGTTTCCCCAGCATCAGGACTAATTAAACCGGGAAGCATTGCCGAGGTGTGGGTCCATCACGAAAACTTCCCCACGGTAGAGGAGTTTGTGGATGGCGTCCCTCAAAACTCGTGGTGTGAAGACGCCAGAGACAAGGAAGTCATCTTGGTCGTCCAAATAAGAGGCACTTACAGCACGACGGAGACGAGAACACATCGGATTCGTGTGCGCCATTGTTGTTCTGGCCAAGCATCACGAGGTGCGCGAAATGTCGATAAACCGGCACCGTCGGGGAGTCTTCTCCATCGGGCTGATTATCAAAATCTCAGCAGTTCGTACGATGTGGTCAACCACCTTCGGAAGTTGAATAGTCCGTAGCGGTTATTTTAAGGGAAGGCATTTTATACTATGTATGGCCGAAATTCGTGATTATGTAAATATGGAAGAGCATAATTTTCACCTTTGCAGCAGCAATGCTCCTTTTTTCTTTTATCTTCTGCAGTCAGCTCTGCAAATCTGCAACGTTCTCTTCAGAATACAGATCGCCAGCTTGCTTTGCAACTACTGTATAGAACGTGTAATGGTGTGGGATTATGTTGTGCTCTTATCAGTTTGAGTCTCCCACTTAATCAGGTGTGTATTCGCCCTATTTGGCACTATCACTATGCATTGAACAAAGAACTATGTAAGGCTCTAATCTTTGGCTCATCTCAATTTGTTTGTTTGTTCGACAATTTACTCATAGTGAGTGATTTCATAACGTGGGATTTTGAGAATACATGGTTTCTGATAATTCTTCGTCATTCTTTTGTCTTACTTTAGTACGAGGATCGTGATCCGCTTGATAGTTTCAGAAACAAAATTTTGGGTAAGACTTCCATTAGAGGGTAAAATGCATGAACATAACTTTATTAGCCACCCCTATAATGTATCCAACAAAAGCTCTAAATTTGTTGAAGAGGAAGAACAAAAAAAAAAAACAAGGGAAGTCGCCTGAATTCACAACACAAAGGATATTTTTTTCTCTAACTGTCGCAATCTTCATCTCGCAGCTGATTAGGTCACTGACTCTCAAATCTGTGCTACTCTCTCAAGATTGAATTCAAATCCTTGACATGATCTCGCATCTTCTTTTTTAGCTTGCCGCATCATGACTGTCTTGATGATGAAGTTATCTTTCTTTGTTCTAAAAAGAAAGACTTTCACCTCATCCTTCGCCGTTGTTGCATTGACAAGAACCACTGACAAGAATATAATCCACCATTGTACATCGACGAATTAATTGAGTAGATAGAATGGAAACCCAGCTGAGACAATTAAGTAGAACCCAATAGAAGGGGGTGAAAATCCAACCAACTCGATCGATGTTCCCTTTCATGGCGAATTCTGATCGTGTTGCCCTGTTGTAGTCGCTGCTGCAGAAGAGGGCTGCAGTGGTGGAGTGGGAGGGTTTCGCTGACTCTGCGGCGGGAAAAGATGCAAACTCGCTATGCTTGCGCTGCTTGTGTATGGTGTGTCGTCGAGGGTGGAACACATGTCGTCTTCCAGGGAATCAGTAGTCGTTGGAGTAGAATCTCGAGTGGAATCCGACCGCGTTGGGGAGTAGTCCTTTGTGCTGCAACCCGTGTCACTCTCCATTATGTGATTCAGTGCATATACCACCTTAAATGAAATGAAACGAGTGAGTGAATTCAGTAGCTAGTAGCGAAGTCAGGATTTGAAAATTGACAGAGAGGCCAGCGTCAGTAGAATGTAAGCAGAAAAGCCATAGTAATATAAGAAGAGTAGAATGTAGCTAGGAGGGAGTAGCGACCTTATCCATGGTCAATCTTTTCTTAGGATCCTTGCTCAGACACTTCTCTGCCACTCTCACCATCCAGAACAGCTGATGAACATCGTGGGAATCCAGGATTCTCTGATCAATCAAGTCCGGGTAGTTCTTCTCTTTCAGCAATGGTCTCGCCTGCACGGATTATGCATGATAAGCATCACTAACTACCATTTGTAGTCTTTACTTAAAGGTAGGGTTTTTGTTCTGTTTACGTACCCAACCTACAAGACTCTTCCCTCCAAGGCTCTTGTCAGTGGTCTTGAGCCCACTGATGAGCTGCAACAGCACAATCCCAAATGAATACACATCGGTCTTGGTGGACACTTTCCCGTACTCTGCATATTCTGGTGCCAAGTAGCCCAGTGTTCCCACTACATTCGTTTCCATCGACAGCTCCCGGTCTTCATGCTGTGTTCTTGCCAGTCCGAAATCTCCTAGCTAACAAATTACAGCCCAACCACACACATGTTATCACAAGGTTTTGCTAAGCAAATCTAGTCACATGCTAGAAACTAGTTGGTTCTTGTCTACCATCAAGCAGAATTCAGTCTCTAGAGGGATTAGGTTCTGGCTATGACGTACCAGGGCCTCATAATCGTGTGTTATAAGGATGTTGCTCGGCCTCATATCTCTATGAATGATGTTATTGTCATGCAAATACTGCAACCCTTTCGCAGCTCCAATCGCTATCTTCATCCTCATCTCCCAACTCAGCGGCCTCCGGGTATGTTCTGCACCAATTCATCCATTCCCCACCAACACAATGAGAATCACAAAAACACTTTTCCCTGCATTACAGACATCGAACTAGCTAAATGCATACTAGCAATTATTCTTACTCGACAGGTGCTGATCCAGAGAGCCATTGCAGACATACTCATAAACAAGCAATCGATGGCTTCCTTCAGCGCACGAGCCCAACAACATGACCAAGTTCTCGTGCCGAACTCGACTCAACACGTCCACTTCAGACTTGAACTCCTTCTCCCCTTGCATGCTCGCATTCTTATGTTGCTTCACGGCAATCTTGACCCCATTCAGCTCGCCTCTAAAAACAGAACCAAACCCACCTTCTGATAAGAAGTTCTTCATTGAAAACCCATCGGTGGCAGAGTGGATCTCCGTGTATGTGAAGTCCCTTCTTCTGGGCCATCCCGTCTTGTTGGGCCGCTCGTTCTTGCATACTGTGCAGATCGGGTTCTTCAACGCGAAGACGACGACGGTGGCATCGTTTACTGGGCTGCTGCCTTCTGTCTTCTTCTGTTGTTGTTCGTTGTGGTTTGCTTCTTCGGTGTCCTGATGAGTGGCTGATGTCGGCGGAGATGAAGGCTTGTGTTTAGCTGCTTCGGGTTGTGAGGTGGTGGTTGATGATGGTGGTTTGTCTTTTTCTTGCAGGCTGGGATCTGAGGTAGATGATGCTGCGGCTGATGAAGAAGATGATGATGGTTTTGATCCGGCGGAACAGGAAGATTCGTAGTAGAGGCGAGCTGTGGTGGATGTTATGAGTGGTGTGCCGGGTGTATCTGAAAACAAGGAGGTGAGAAGAGCGGACTTCCCTTGGCTTCGATCTCGATCTCCTTCGTTTCCTGTTCTCAGAAAAACATTTTGGTATGAATCCCCCAGTTTTAGGCAGCTAGAAGATCGACTGTGTTTGAAAAAATTAGAGTTGGAGGAGAAGGTGTAATTTCATGTATGCCTAGTTTCGTACTAGGAGTAGGCAGTGACAAAACCTATCGTTTAGGGTGTAGGCAGGTACGAATAATCGGCAGTGCGAGACGTAGGGATGACAACAAAACCCGAACCCATGGTTACCCACCCGATCCAATTCGGTCAACGCGGATAAAATTCGTATTGACGGGTTTTGGGCCGGGTTTGGGTTTAAACCCGTTCACTATTCACCGGGTTGGGTTGGGTTTGGGTTTAGGTAAACCCGACCCATGAGTACCCGCTCACACTCATATAATTAATTTTCTCGGCATATTTAATATTCTAAACAACTAATCTTATTTATGTTTGTAGAGACAAGTCTAATTTTTTCTTTCTAGTTATGTAGAATGAAGTTGATGTTATTGAGTGGAGAGTGCAAAACTTAATTGAAAGGAAGAAGCTTTCGATTAATCATGTTATTTATGGATAATTTGTGATTTCTTCAATTTTCTTGAGTTTTCTAGATTGGTGTTGAACAATTTGTGTAGTTAATTTGTGATTTGCTTGAATTTTCTAGAATGGTGTTTTATATATGGATAATTTGTATTGAGAGATTGATATTTGACTTTAATTTTGATAGGAATTTGTTATTGTGAATTTTTTACGACAAAAACCCGTGGGTACCCATGAACCCGCGGATACCCAGCGGGTTGGGTTGGGTTTGAGTTTTTCAAACCCAGTGGGTTTTGCCCCGGGTTTTTTTCACGGATAAACCCATGGGTTTGGGTTTGGGTTTGGCAAAACCCGACCCGTTGCCATCCCTAGCGAGACGTGATTAGTCGAAGTGAAACACACTTAAGCTTGTTGATAGAACAAGGATTAAAATAATTTGTGTTAATCTTTTTAAAATAACGCCATCTTTCTCAAATGACTCCATCTTCAGCTACCTAATATTCGACTCCTCTTCACCGTTGTCTGACTACGGAGAATTCAGAACCTACGACTTCTACAAACTTGTGATTCTAGAAAACTATGACATAATTGCTTGTTGTTGAGGTTTAGTTTAGTTATTAATGATTTGAAATTGAACTAAAGAAAGAAAGTAATTTAAAATTGTTATTACTATTGAAAATTGCTATTTTCGCTAAAATGCTTAGGCGCGACACCATTTCGACCTACTAGGCACAAAACACTAGATAGTACGGCGCCTAACTCGTTCTTGAACCTTGAGAAACCTTATTTAAAATAAGAAATCACCAAATAAGTATGTACTGAATCAATCACTCACTCACCATTCTCAGGACTTCCGGGGATCATTTCATCATAAGTGACCTGCTGCCCTGCTTTGTCCTGATCACTGCCTTTTTCTGCAGATTTCCTTGGGACCATTCTTGGTTTGGGCTGTCTCAGTTCTTCGATGGTGTTGTTTCGCTTTATCCTTGAGATCCCGCATGATAACTTCTCGGTGAAGTAAGTCTTGTCCTTCTTCATCTGCCTGCAATCAAAACACGGTTCCACCCATCAAACAATTTGTTCAGCCATTCACTTCCCATCTTTCTCAAACAGAAAAAATTACAGTACTGGTTTTGGTTGTTCCATTTGATCGATCATGGTTGTTACTAGTCTCCGTTACCTGTCGAGTATCAGCCATGTCGGCTTTAGACTCTTTGCAGCTTTCATGGCGACCACCTTTGGAGTCGGCCCTGCATGGACCTCGATCCGGAACTCAATCTGATTGAGATGGATATATGTCAAACAGACTACTCATGGTTAAACTTCGAATTAAGAAAGAAAGGAAAAGAAACTGAAGAATGGAAGAAGAAAAAAAAACAGACTTACCTGTTCCATCTGACATAGCTTGGAAATAGTGATGATTTCTTCATTGTTAGTGTACTCGTCTTTCTTCCTGGAAACTTCATCTGCAATCAGCTTCGGGTTGATCCCAAACATCGAGCTCGAGTCCACCTTGATCTTGTACCCCACTGTGCCACAAACACAAACAGATAGCAATCTCTTCATTTCTTTCTCATTCATCCATGTTAGATGCAGCAAGATAAAACCAGAAATGAGGGTTAACGTACTAGGATTAGTAACTTGGTGAAGGATTCCATAGAGGATGAGGACATCACCAGCCTTGAATGAGAACTGCTGAAGGACCAATCGAATCGATCCTGCTGGACTAACAACATCCCTCGAAGCATCGTCGATGATCACCACCCTTTGCCCTCCTCCCAACGACGACATGATCAATAATATATGCTACTGATGTTACAGAAGGAAAATTGCAGCAGTGTGAATGGTAATGTGAAGAAACCAGAGTTCTGGGGGAGACCAAGTGGCTTAAAAGGACATGTGGGTGAGAGAGGGGGTGAAGAAGAATGTGATGGCGGGGAAATTTGAGGGAACCGTCTTAGTTAGCTAGGAGAAGGGAAGTGAATCTTATTAGCCTGCGGAGAAACATAGATGGAAGGAACAAGAATGATTGAACAGTGAAAAAGTATTTTTTTTTTTCCGTTTCAGGCTGACAATTTCTATGCCATGAAAATGAATCTTTTTTCTCGTCTTTGTTTTGTTTCACAAGAGGTCGGATCATTGGATTTGAAGCATAAGCGGCGAATGGCGTGGGGAGATTGTGAACGACAAGCGAATGATATAAGATGGCAACATGGAATTCGGAAGGTTTTCGTGTTTTAGTTCTTACATTTCAGTATAACATGGCAGTTGATTTAGAGGAATGTATCTGACTAACACTCAAATTATGGGGAAAATTTGGTACTTGACAAGTGATTATCAGAGTGATGATCACAAAGCCATAGACAGGAGAGAAGTTAGCATGTTGTCTCTATGGACCCAGCAAGGAGAGAATGTTTTCCACATTTTTTCCCCCCTGTCAAGAGTACAGCTTGGGCAGAGCTGGTGGATTTTTGGTATATTGTTGTTCTTGTCGTCTGAAAAGAAACCCTTTTGCACATTTTTTCCTCCCAAGTTGTGCCTTCTCTGTCATTTATTTGTCATACAAAACCCATATGTAATGTAAGACTAAGAGAGCAAAGTACAGAATGAGGGGAAGGATCCCTCTGTGCCATTTCCTTGGATTTTCCTGCTATGACAATAAGTGATTAAACCCTTTGGTTCACACCCATTTAACTTAAGCTGATGTTTTTTCATAAGTATGAGAAAGTGTGTTAAGTTGTTCTTAGATAAAAATCACAGTTTAGAGTTTTCTATTCATTAAGAGGTTTTTTAATACCAGATTTTTAAGGGTCATCTCCAAAAGAAACATATGACAATTTTTTAGTGATTTTCTTAATTTTATTTTCACTCATTTCTCCCTATTTCTGTCTTATCCAAAAAAAAATATGTTGGGGGTGTTACTAAATACTTCGTGCACAGAATGAGTAGGGGAGCACACAATCGGCGATGGCAACACTCGGTACCCGCTACAGGTATATAAAGGCTTGAGGCCCTCCAAAGAGGGGGACTTTTCCTCTCCCCTCACTTTCCACTTTCTGCTATCTTTCTACACTACTCTCTCTATCTATTCTCTCAACTCTCTCCTCAAACATACGGTGACTTGATCGTCGGAGCTTAATCCGGGGGGCAACCCCGGCTCTTTCGCAGGTTCCTTCCCTCCCGACGAGATCAGACGAACGGATCGTGAGTCAACCCCACACCAACAAATATCATTATTCATACCGGAGCTAGATGGTTCAAACAATTGGCGCCCACCGTGGGGCAGATTTGGATACTTGTTCGTCTGATTTCGAAAGGAGGAAAAGCCGCCTCTTCCTCCATCACTACAAGCGACGGCAACAACAAAACAGAATCAATCGTGTTATCAAAAAAGAAGAAAGCCAGACCACGTTTTATCCTCCTTTCGTTCACCTCTTCGGGAGCTCGCACAAGAAGAACCCCTTCCGATTAAGGAGAAACGAGCTGCCAACAATCCGAACAAAGAAGAAAAAAAGGCGCAACAAAAAAAAAACAACGGTGAAAATTCCGACCGCCAGAGAGAGACGCGGCGCCGGAGCCTAAACGAGGAAGGAAGAAGAGCCGCTCCACAATCAACATCATCACTTTCTCTTCATCCTCCCCAACAGTAATAAGAAAATAAAAAGATGAAGAAGCAGCCTACTCCGCTACAGTATACGACCACAGATCAAATCGAGGGGACAGCTATCTCTGAGCCACCTTCCCTCCCTGTCAGAAGGAAAGGACTGGTGAGGTTCCCAAGACGACAGGCTGGAAGCACATTAAAAAAAAAAAAAAACAAAAGGTAGTGCCAAGAGTGTCGGCAACAACAGCCCCGGGCCGGACCCGCTCAGCTTCAAGGCCCATGCCTCCTCCGCGTCACTCTACCCACCCAAGCCCGCTCCACATAAGCCGCCCGCTTAACAAGCCCACACTCGCGGCTCGCGGCCCGCGCACAAAGCCGGCCCAGACTTCTTCTGATCCGCCTCTACAGCCCACCACAAGCGCGGGACCAAACTTGCACATGGGGCCCAACTCGCGGATCGCCAAGCCCATGTCGCGGCCCGCACTCGCGCCTGTCCCGATCTGCGCTTCACACAAAGCCACCAGCCCGCTCGCGCACAACTAGCCCACACCTGGAGGTCCCAACTCGCGGATTGGCCCCAAAGTCGCATCCCCGGTCCGCTCCGTTTAAGGGATGCAGTCCCGCCCAAGCCCAGCAGATGAGAAGCTCATAAAAAATTGTTGTCACCGCGAGGGCTCGAACCCGCGCCATTCCTCCACCGGGCGGGCATGTCAACCAGCAGACTAAAGCGGATTATTACTACTAAAGCGCGATGCTCCTTATAAATTCACTCAATCGCGGCCCAATTCACAACAACTCTACTCGCGGCCCGCTTCACATCCATCCTTTAACTCCGCCCTCAAGAAAAAAGAATGCTCCCTGGAGGATTCGAACCCAGATTCAAGCATTACAAGACTAGAGTGCGGACTAGTGGACTGCATCATGTCGTTGACAACAGAATGTCCGACGCACAGCTATGAAGAGTATACTCCGCTCCAACTCCAATTAGCGGTCCTCACCGCGTCACAGCCCGCGTCGCACCAGGTGCGACCCACCAGCTCGCGCGGCCCGCGCCGTGCACTCCACCAGCCCGCCTCACCAGGCGCGACCCACCAGCCCGCGCGGCCCAACCAAGTCGCGGCCCGTGCCGCGCACTCCACCAGCCCGCGTCGCACCAGGCCCAATCCTCCATGCGGGCTCGCGTCACGCATCCAACAGGCGCCACGTCAAAAATATTATTGTCGCCGCGAAGGTTCGAACTCGCGTCACTCTTCCGCGTGCCAAGCAACAATACCAGTACGCTACAAACATTGTTTGTGATTCAAAGGTGCAGCGCGGTATTTTAAAGTTTCTCAACTCCAACTCGCGTCTCGCTCTGCTTCTGGCCCAACCCCGGCCCGCGTCCTGATCAGCCCACCAGCGCGCCCCGCTCTGCTTCTGGCCCAACGCACGGAAGCCTTCAAAAATAATTGATGGCGCCGCGAGGGTTCGAAACTGCGCCACTCCTCCGCCTGGCATGCAATATTACCAGCAAGCTACGTGCGAGGCCTTTGTTTCAATGGCGCGGCATCTGATGTTTAACTACTCACGCCCAGTCAGTTCCACTGAACAACAAAAAGTCGCAATAGTCATGAACTATTCGCGCACACTCAGTTTCACGGAACAAAAAATAGCAATAGTCCCGCACTATTCGCGCCCACTCAGTTCCACGGAACAAACAAAAAGTCGCAATAGTCATGAACTATTCGCGCACACTCAGTTCCACGGAACAAAAAATAGCAATAGTCCCTCACTATTCGCGCCCACTCAGTTCCACCGAACAAACAAAAAGTCGCAATAGTCATGAACTATTCGCGCACACTCAGTTCCACGGAACAAAAAATAGCAATAGTCCCGCACTATTCGCGCCCACTCAATTCGACAAAAGCGTCTCGGGACCATCCGCTCGCGGCCTTCCAACGAAGTCGCCCGATCCGCTCCGCGTCAAGCCCCGACCCACAAGGCAACCGCGCAAGGTCCAACTTGGTCTCACTACCCGTCGCCAACATAAAGCTAAGTACTCTGTCCCTCTATCATTATTAAATATTGAAATATTTTACTTGCCTGAGCGTTAATGGCGCTAATGGGGGGCTACACGCCTTAATGTAATACACCAACTGGGGGGCAAGACGCAAGAAGCTGGCACCGCGTCAGTCAAACGCGCCACCAGCTGGGGGGCAACTGGGGTACATAGGGCTCTACCCAGAATTACCGACGAAGATTTAAAAAAATATATATATATAAGCTAGCGATGAGTTAAAACTCACCACCAGTTTGGGGGGCAATTGTTGGGGGTGTTACTAAATACTTCGTGCACAGACTGAGTAGGGGAGCACACAATCGGCGATGGCAACACTCGGTACCCGCTACAGGTATATAAGGGCTTGAGGCTCTCCAAAGAGGGGGACTTTTCCTCTCCCCTCACTTTCCACTTTCTGCTATCTCTCTACACTACTCTCTCTATCTATTCTCTCAACTCTCTCCTCAAACATACGCTGACTTGATCGTCGGAGCTTAATCCGGGGGGCAACCCCGGCTCTTTCGCAGGTTCCTTCCCTCCCGACGAGATCAGACGAACGGATCGTGAGTCAACCCCACACCAACAAATATCATTGTTCATACCGGAGCTAGATGGTTCAAACAAAATATATTTCAGTCTTTTTTTTTATTTGATTTTACATTTTTATTCCTCGTTCTCGCTCGAGTTAGAATTTGAAGACAATAGTAAAACCCGTCACCTTCATTGAAGAGGACACGAAAGGGGCTTCAGAACAGACGAAACTAAATGCTATGATCTTTCGCTTTTTTCTATGTTTTCGTTCAACATCTACTCCGTGCCTATTGAAATCGTATTGCAACCGTATTTAGATAACGGGAATAATTATTTTACTTTTGCAAAGAGCTATCTCGAAATCTAAGACCTCATTGGTTCCAATTTACTTTCATATCCATAAATGCAAAGTTTTAATGAAAGTTTGACTCAATAATTTCAGCATGTTCTTACTAATATTACGTGGATTCTCCTCCTTTGATTCATAGTCTCATTAACAAACGAGGGCAAATTGATGTGGAGTTCTCTTGTAAAATCTATGTGGTTTCTTACGGTTTTTGTAATTATTTCTTGCGCTTCGCGACGGGTGGATCATAGCATTGAATATGTTGTACGAAAATCTTCAATTTTCACTGATTCAGAAAATCACATGTGCTGCTGCATGGTCAAAGAAAAACCTCAAAAACTGCAAAAAGAGAGGATGGGCATCTTTCTGTTTTGTCGATGGGAGCCCCCGAAAGCATGCAAACAGCCAACACTGAACAAGACACACTTTCACATATAACTCCTCTACTTCTCCGACTTCGGCCAACCCTAATTGGGTGATGCTCTTATGACATTCCAAAACGAATTTTGGCCGCTTCTCGGTTTCTCTCTTCATCTTTGTGTTTGTTTTCTACTCCCTTTCTTCTTTTTATTGGTAGATTTTGGGGAGCTTGGCTGAGTCTCCCAACAAAATCAAGCCCAGATCAGCAGTAATGCTCAATGTGAAAGTTGGTGAACCTAGATCTTTGTATGTGTCTCCATACATAAAAGGGGGTAGGATGACAATTTGAATCGGCCCCGTAACGTATTATCCTATCTAATCTGTGATGAAGCGAATATTATATGGAACGCAATAGCGTGGGGCCAGACATGCATATCTGCTTCCGACCCACACTGTACCTCAATTTCTTACAATATCTATTCATATTTTTCCTATTTTGATTTTTCCTCAACTAGTTAGAATTAATCTTTCAACTAGTTAGACTCAATTACTTATCCAATTATGACAATTTTTTTCATTCATAAAATGTTTTCCCTTCGTTTTATCATAAAAAGTACAATTTTATGTGCACATGAAGCGCTTGGAGCGGGGCATCATTAGACACCACTCAACCAAACGATAAAATCAATGGATAATATCAATGTCAGAGCCCAAATTCATGGGTATCCAATCCGACCAACCCAGTCAAAATGGGTAAAACTCATAGTTACGAGTTTTGGATTGGATGTGGGTATTCCCGTTTTGGGAAATTCGCGGTGCAAAGTGGGTTGGATTTGGGTTTTGCCAAAACTCAACACGACTTTCCACCCAACCCGCACCCATACATTAAATCGACATCAACCTCAACTCTCGACCCTAACCCAATCCCCAATGACCGAGCTTAGTGCCCTTTACTAATTACAGTAACCATTAATAGATTCAGAGTATGCTACAAAAAGTAACAAACTATGACCACAAATGCGTTGATGACAGGAAACTAACGAGCCTCGTGGTATCAAATTCTCAGGAACGCCAGTTACATTTCAAACGGTACAAAGTTGTGCCTGGATCTCCAGGAACACAACCAAGTCAGAGGGCCTTCCCAAGTACAAAGCAATCCACTACAGAAACCAAGATGCTTTCAGGTAGAGAGCCGGAGACTAGGTTAACCCATAACCTAGTTGCTCCTACATGCTCGAACAAAGTATCAATTCACTTGCCCCTCAACACAACGTAGTTGGATCCTCCGCCGGCGGTCTTCTGAATCCTGGATATTCTCTTCAGTATGTCAGCAAATGCCTGCTTATCCTGCACAAGCCGGAGAGTTAAACAGACCCATAGCACGAATATCTGCTGAAACGCAGTTTCTAACGGTGGCAATGACCTTTTTCTGGAGCTACCACAAAAAGATTACGGAATTCATAAACGAGATGAACCATGTTACCTGTGAATTTTTGAGACGCGATTTAAACCTGGCAACAAGTTCCTGTGTGGTGATAGGCGCAACCTCCAAGAGAACAGCCTTTATCTCTTCTTCAGTTACAGGGCCTGTCTCAGGCGCTGAGGAACTTGCTTTTGATGGAGGTGGTGCTCCTTTGGAAGTGGATGCACTAGTTTTGCTATTACTTGTGCTTTCTTCTTTGGCATTTGACTTTGGTTCCTACGGCACAACAGGAAAAAGCTCATAGTTAAAGCAGAGAGATGGCCCCGAGAATTAATAGTTGGATGTAAATCTTGTTATGCGAGCTTAACAACTTACAGCTTCTGTCTTCACCTTCTTTGTATTGGACTCCTGGCAGCCAACAAACAGGAAATCACAAACCCAGAGAACATAAATAAACCAGAGCTTGATATAGATTCGAAAGTTTCTAGGAGTGATATAACTTACTTCCGTCTTCACCTTCTTGGGAGTTGCGGTATTGGATGCCTTGGAATCATCAGCTTTTCTTTTCCCCTTTGTTGACTTGGAAGATGATGCATTTCCCTTAGAAGATCCCGCAGCTGTTGCTTTTGCTGGACTATTCTCAACTGGTTCCTCCTTAACAACCTCTTTCCGCTTGGGAGCCATTAGAGGGGAAATGTCATCTTCCATCTATTATAACCCACGATTAATGGCAAAACAAATCAATATACAAAAAGATCAAGCATATATCCCATAAAAGAGGAAATTTATGGTCTTTGATCCCTTAAAGCTAAACAATGGCTGCATTAGCTAAAGCAGATGAATTGTTATCATAATCAAAGAAGGTATGGAAAGGCCAAAAAAAAGTTCACAAATCACTCTAGTTCTTTCGACATGAATACTCATATGTGATGAAAACTCCAAAATCACGAGAAGGCCCTCTAAAATCCTTAGTTAATTAATAAAATAAAGTGGCAAGCAGACTAAAGAACATGTGAACATCCCCTTAAGCAATAAACACTTTTGGAAGAAATGATGAAGAGAAAAGAACGAAGAAAGTCAACAAAAACGTCTGTTGAAAAGTTAAGTTAATTAAGCACAAAACTTACATCATCGTCATCGTCATCTTCTTCACGATCAGAATCACTATTACCAGCAGCTTTCCCAAGTAACTTCTTCAACTCTTTCCCAGACGAACTCAATTTTCCTTCCTCATTCTCATCGTCCTCGTCTTCATCATCCTGCCAGGAATTGTATTTTGGCCATCTTATTGTGGCACATATGATAGAAACGGAACAGTGCGTATTTCAATTAAACAAACATATGATAGAAACGGAACAGTGCATATTTCAATTAAACAAACATGGTATCTGTCTCGTTAAGCAACAACGATAGCAGATAAGTTCAACTACTGAACTACATGCTTTCTTGAAAATAATGTAGCTAACAATCCCTGTTACTTCAACTCTGAACTGTTAGAAGCCCAGAAACTCCAAACGTACTGTGAAGGCCCAAACTATAGCAACTTTTGTCATTCTCAAGAGGAAAAGGATATGGAATACGAAATAAAAGTGTACCAGGCATAGAGCACACGGCCAGGATAAGGATAACAGAGAGATAAACAAACTTAAACATCAGATAGCAAACCCAAAAGTTTAATCTGCTCAGAGATGTGATGTCACTAATACTGTTGCTACCTCCACACAAAGCAAAAATGAGTCTTCAATACCACTGTTAGCAAAATGCCATTAAAACTTTTATTACCTAGGAAGCACCGTATAGCAGTGGCACCCATAACAGCTATTCATAGAGGGGAAAGCCAGGCTAAAGATGAACCAAGGGATAAAGAGCGGAAAGTTCATATGTTGATAAAAATCTTTGGTATCTCCACGTACAGGTAGAATGGTTTCATGCCCCACCGGTAAAACACCATTAGAAGATTAAGTACTTAGGAAACATGATATGCTTGAAGTACAATGGAAAAGAAAAGATAGCAGTGCTGCCTGTAACAGCAAGACAGGGAATAATCAATTGAAACCCCCCATAAAAAAGCAGAAAGAATTAAGTCCATTTCAGGTCGCATTCATTGAAATTGTTGAAATGTCAGATATGGAAAAGGAGAAAATAGACGGTCTAAACCGAAAGCTGTTTACTTAGTTCTATCCCGTAGGTTAAGAAAGATTGAGTCAGGTAGCAACTTCAAAGGATAGAATTATTTTTAAGAAATTGAGTTAATACATTTCAGAAACAATCATTTCGACTATGGGATTAAATACATACCTGTTTGATTTCTGGAGGAGCGGGGGCCAATTCTTCAGGTAATTCATGATCACTTCCAACCGCCTCATCATCATCAGTAAATATTTCTTCATGCTCCCAATCATCACCTACGACAAATGATATACATTCTTGAGACAGAATCTTCTGACTCTTCCAATTTGAGAGCAAGAATGTTATTAAGAAGAAGCCCCAAATCTTGCAGCGATACACATGAAAATGCTCACCCTTCTCAATATCATCATCATCCATGTCATGGTCACCTCCCCGTCCACCTTCTTCATCGTCATCACCACCTCTTTTGTTTAGTCCGAGCCTATTTTTCCTAGAAGCTTCTTCTTCCTCATCTTCCTCTCCCTTATCGGATACATTGCCTTCTTCATTGTCCCCAGATGCTTTTTTTCGCCCTTTGGGCCCAGCTGGACCATCATCTTTCTCATCAAAACTTCCCTTTTCCCCAAAAGCAGCCGGTCCATTGTTTGCTGCTTTCATCATCCATCTTTCATATCCATCTGCTGTCTTTCTTCTGTTCTTCATCTTCTCCTCTGCTTCCTCCAGAGTCAGTTGCTTATATTGTGCAACCTTGTTAAAGTTGTACCTGTCCAAATTACGAGGTTGACAACGGAATGGAGCAGAAATGATGAACAAAGGAAAATGAGTATTCGAAAGTGCATAGGTCAAACAACATGTTAGCAAAATTTGCAATAAGAAGCATATACCAGGAACCAGCAGGAATAGCAGCAAACTCTTTCCCTTGCACCATTAACAGATAATAAGTCACCGACTGTGAGCCTTCCATGTGGCCGTGAAAACGGTGTTGGCCAGTTTCATCTTCCAACAGCCAAGGTTTATTCTTGTACCTCTCCTATGAAAGGAAGGCCAAAAATAAGCCACAATGGGAATTCTTTTCAAGAGAGCTCAAGGAGATACAGTATCGTAGGCCATTAATGAGACAAAGCTCGAAAACTGATAGTTACCCTCAAAGACTCAGACAGCATGCGCCCTTGCAGTCCTTCCTTATGAAGAGACCATTTATTCTCAGCACTTTTCTTCTTCGAAAAACTTGGTAGCCCACCCATGAATCTACCAATGAAATAGTTCTTGTCGTTGTTGGGACTAGCCCGAACATTGTATTCCTGCAGAAAAGAGAAGCAATCAGACATTACACGGTAATCCAGCTTCTTGGGGTGGAAAGGAAATGCATTGCCAGGGTAGGAAGAATATCATTATCCCAAATCAAGTTCTTAAACACCATTTTGTACTGTAAACAAAACTCCCCCTACTGAAACAAGACTAATAAGCTATCGCTCGATTGGCAAGGCAATTAGAGTTTCCACCGTCAACCAAACCGACTAAACTGACTGCACAAACGTCGACCTCAGGCGAAGAGAGGGAAGCCTAACAAATCGCGGGAAGAAGAGGAACGACAAGAAAAGGAGCCAAAAATTACTCGTATCAAGCGAGTAACGGTAGCGCCACAGTCGTAGCACTTGGCCCCAGACTCCGCCATTTTTTTGCCACAGTCCAAGCACAGCGTCATGTGCTTACAATTGCTCCCGTAAAGATTCGCGGTGGACCCGCACCTGCACGACGGCTTCAGAACCAGATCGATCGCCATCCGTTCACCCTCCCGCTTCGGGCCTAAAGAGAGCTAAAAAGAAACGACCACAGAAACTCGCTCGTGTTCAGTTCAGCTGATTGCCTCCACAACACATGAGAGACACGAAATCGATCGAGGAAGCCCGAGAATTGTGAGTAATCCTCCCGCGGTTGAAACCCTAGAGTATCAGGGCAGAGAAATGTGAGAGATAGATCGTTCAAATTTCTGGTTCTGGAGCGGCTGTAGTTATGATCTCAATATAGGTATGGTTTTTCTCGGCATCGATTTTAGACGATTGAGCCGGAGGGATGGTGCGGAGCAGAGGGAGGAATCAGAACGCTTTTGTGAATTGTGAATTGCGATTGTACTAAATAGGAAAATCGAGAAGAGCCAATGAACGTGTGGTGGAGGGAGAAAGGAAAAGCCGAAAGTACCCCTGCCGCCGGTCAATATTACTATGGTGCTAACAAAGTTGTCAAATCGATTACATCGTTGCATGGATTTAGCTCGGGCAAGGTTGTCAAACCGATTTATGCCAGTGTGCCGGTTTAGCAAGTGGAATGGTTCAACCGGTGGCACATATCGGTTTGTGTCGGTTCATGCCGGTCAATATTACAAATAAAATTATAAATACTCATATTTAAACATGACATTTAACGTCAATACCTAAACATCTATATTTGAATCCAACAAATAACATCAATATTTAACTTTTATACTCATAAAATAAATAATAAAATAATTTTTATCAATTAAATTCTCTAAAATAAGGTCATTTTACTTACAGATTCGTATATCGATCATGTCGGTCATACCGGTGGTGTCACGCCGGTTTTATGACCTGTACCGGTTGAACCCGGTACAACCGGTGGCACGCCGACCGGCGTGACAACCATGAGCTAGGGTAAGGCTGCAAACGAGCCGATTTTGCGCTTAGTTTGAGCTCGGCTTATTTATAAATTTTTCAACTCGAACTCGAATTTTGATAATCCATCTCGGTAAATGCTCATTAACACAGTTTGCCAAGCTGAGTATGAGTTTAGCTTAAGGTGAACTCGATTTGAAATCATTCTTTTTGAAAAATGTGTAAACACAATAATTTATATGATAAAAAGAACACTAGAAACTAAAGTAACAGCCAACTTCCGTACACATCCATATTAACAAGATAATGTTTATGTTTAGAAGATCAATTAATGCTTTCACAAACTCTAAACAAGTCAGCTCGCGATTTTAGCTCAACAAGCCACCGAGTCAAACTAGCTCGCGAACTTATCGAGCTGAGCATGGTCTAGCTCAAGCTTGACTCGTTACTATCGAGTCGGCTTGCGAGCCAGCTTGTTGAGTAACGAGCCGAGTGTCGAACGAGTTTTTTCTATTCAAAAGCCGAGTTGCTTGCGAGCGGCTTGGCTCATCTAGAGCCCTAGCTAAGGGGTGGTAATCGATCGGTTACTTATTAAACTGGTAACCGGTTAGCCTGTTATTAGTATATCATTTAGTTTCACACGACTGCTGACTAACGTTACCTGGAGGAAATTGATTAACCGGATACCTTGTTAAAGGTTAACAATCGGTTAACCGCCTCATATCTGTCTTCGTCGCCGCCCACCTTTCTCTTTTTTTTGTGCAAATCCGCCCACCTCTCTCTAATCGCCCCTACCATCCGCTCATCTTCTTCGTCGTGCAATCCACCTCCATCGAGCTTTCATTGTTTGTTTCTCGCTCTCATCTCCCTCTTCCTGTCAAGAATCTTTGCCCTCACCTCGTCCTTTTGCAGCGGCAACATCAGTGGAAGCGGGAAGCCCTATTTGGGGATTTCTGTTGATTGGAAGGTGAGAAAGATGGGGAAGAAAATAATATAGGGTTTTGTCGCTCTGGGTTTTGTAGAATTGTTCGCTAGTGGCGGAGGGGAAGGGAGAAGAGAAGACGGAGATGGGTTCGGCATGGCGTGAGGGTGGCAGAGGAAGGCAGGTTGGTGTCTGGTGGTAATCAATAGGTAGATTTCGGATATCCCGTATATCGGATAATCGCCAGTAATTTACCTGGAAGGAGTCGGTATACCGTGTGGTGTTTTGTGGCTACCACCAACCGGTACAGCCGGTTAACAGTTTGATCGATAATCGTCGGTTACCAATTTGGTTGTCGATTAAACCATTAATCGGTTAGTGGATTTATTGCTTAGGGCTGTTTGCCATATTCTTTCCTTCCGCTTCTGGCTTTCTACTTAACTTAATAGATTGATTTGCCCATCTCCCCTAATTTCACCTTGGTATGCTAATGTTCACTCGATCAGAGCTGCTTTTCCTTTTCTCAGTGAGTCTTTGTCCTCTTAGCTCTTAGCTTTCGCCGGTTACCAAGCTTAGGGTTAGCAAGTGGTGTTGTTCGACTGGTGTTACAATCGGTTCATGTCGGGTCATATTGGTTTAATAGAATATGTAAAAACATAAAAATCATTAACATCATATAAATTTATGCAAACTTATATGCTTGAATCCAACAAATCATATAAACATTTAGCTTTTAAATTCATGAAATAAATGAAAAATTATTTTCTTTATCAATTGAATTCACTAAAACGGAGTCATTTTGTATATAGGTCGAAATCAAGCATGCCACCTGTCATAAACCAACTGGTCCCAATAACTCAAGTTGTTGGGAGAGGCCCAGGTTTGGTCTTAACACTTCCTTACACGCCCGCTCAAACGAAAGCCGACTCATGGGGTTGAAGTTGGCACAGACTTGTCATACCATGTGCTTGAAGATAACGGTAATATTAGGAGTCGTGAGAACTTGAACACGTGACCTCAAGAACAAACCAGCTCTAATACCATGTCATAAACCAACTGGGCCCAATAACTAGAGTTGTTGGGAGAGGCCCATGTATGGTACTTAGCCACTTCCTTACAATACTTGTGAGGGCCAGGATTCATTGTTGTTTAGGAATGGCTTGGGTAAAAGGAAACAGAGCTTAGCTCAACCCCTAGCCAAACCAAGCAAGTTATTATTAAATTACTGTTGGTACTCATTAGGGCTGCAAATGAGCTGAGCTGGTCACGAGAGGTTCAATGTTTCGGAAAAAATCGTTTGAAAATCGACTCGTGTACTAATGAGGTGAGCTTGAACTAAGTCTTGATCAGCTCATGAGTCTCGTGATCTAGCTCGACTCGGTGGCTTGTGGAGCTCAACTCGTGAGTGGACTCGTTTAGAACTCATGATATGTCTCAACATTGTGGCTATAGAGTCACCTCGACTACCAACTTATGAGCGAATTCATCTTGATCTTATGAGTTGGAAATTGATAATGCATACAATTGTTAAATTATATATCTCATCCTATATGATGTTTAAGACATTGAGTATGTGAGCAAATATCTCTTACTATTAATTTTAAAAATAAATCATGTATCATAATTATTTCGATATTATGAAATAACATGATTTCGACTAGTAATTTATGAACTAAATAATATGACACTTAACAGAGTTTAACATGACATTAGGTAACGATGAAAATTTGATTGTTATTCATTTTTCATCAAGATTTCGACTAGTAATTTATGAAATAAATAATATGACACTTAACAGAGTTTAACATGACATTAGTTAATGATGAAAATTTGATTGTTATTCATTTTTCATCAAAACTTCAATCACATATATCATGCATGATATACAAAATAAATATGTCAAATGTAAGCCAAAATCTTAGTAAATGAGACTAACTCGACCTCAAGGATAATATTCGGCTCGACTTATCTATTTGCAACTCTATTTCCCATTTACCCCACAATAAAGAGAAACTAAGCATCACTCCTGCCGATGTTTCTCTTTTGCCTACCAAACGTTTCTCTATTTCTTTTCATTCTCTCTCCTCAAGGCAAACAAATTTGAAAGACGAGAGGTCCTGAAATTTGAAATATGGGATTTCAATTTTCATCTTTTAAATCGTTTTTGGTGTTATGGTCATAAATTCATTTTGAAAACATCCATTAATCCATAAGACAAAGTACAACTAAATAATAATAACTAACATAATCTTGTTAAAAAAGAGAAAGAAGTAAAGGAATGAAAAGAGAATTGTGGGAAATTAATTAGCTTTGATTTAGTTGATCACTCAATTACATTTTAATTTTTTTAATTACCTTTCTTTTGATTGAGAGGTTACAATTTGATCTCACTATTTTTTATTAATTTATATATGTAGAAATACTCTTGCTAGAGAGAGTATAAGTATGGCTATGGGGTGTGGAGTCTAAAATCATACACACCTCATTCCATTAAACTTTTTGAGGGTTTTACCTATACCCAGTAAATGTGGGGATTCCCCCATGTTGACTAGGTCGGCAGTAGTCAGATACATGTCCTGCGATTGCGGATTTGATTGCCATCCCTGATTGGAGTATACTCTAGCACTGCTCATAATTCATGGTCAGTGTATGAAATATGATTTGTACCTAATATTGAATATGAATATAACTGATTCTGAAATTTGAGTTTGTTTGACATTGAATATGAGTTGAGCTGACACTGGGACGATGTTTAAGAATCGGCAGATGAGACCTTCAACTCGAATTCTTGGCAGAAGGAGAAGAATGATTAGAGAGGGAGAGAAACAAATGCCACTGGTCTTTTTTTTATTATTATTTCAAAGTAGAGTTCCAGACCTTTCGTCGTGGTTGGTCACACAACATACGATTAACGTTAATGCCTGAGAAGCCAAAGGAAAGCGTTCACCTTCATGGGAACAAATGGCTGCCAAATCACCTTGCATGGGAAGTCGATGATGCCATGGAACCTAGCATTATTGAGGGTGTCATACATGGACTTCACCGAAAAGCCACCATTTGAACAAGAATTCCAGATAAGCTTAGCCGGACCTGTAGTAATCAAATCAAGAGGTAAAAGTGACAGATAATGCATCAAAGTAAGCCTCTCTCTCTCAGCCCCACCCATCAAGGAAATAGACAGTTGCAAATCCCACCCCACACCCTCACTCTCAAAGGATACGATATTGGACACCCAAGCTTCTTGGAACATGGAGGCGGCCGCAACTCTGGGATAAGCATCTTTAAGAATCATTCCCGGCCACCAGCAATCGTTCCAAAAAGAAACCCAGGCACCTCCCCCGGGACTGATATGAGCAGATTTCCAGAATGAGTCTTCCTCCTTCATGATGCGTTTCCACATCGAACATCCCAAAGGACCAGAACCAGATCCGGATCTCCAAATAGATAGGGGGTTTGGAAACTTGAACTCGATAAGCTGTCGCCACCAGGAGTTAGGCTCCGTGGCAAATTTCCAGAACCACTTGGCAAGGAGAGCCAAATTCATGTTGTCTAGGTCCAAGACACCCAGCCCACCTCTATCCTTTGTAGCCTTGCAAAGATCCCAACGAACCAAATGATATTTGCTCTTATCCTGTGCACCTGACCATATGAAGCTACGTTGCATTTGCTCCATCTTATGAATAGTTGCTTTGGGCGCTCTCAGCAAAGAGAATTGGAACAAAGGTTGACTTGAGAGGCAGCTCTTGCATAAGATGATACGCCCACCCAGAGACAAGAATTTGCTTCTCCAACACTCAAGCCTCGTTTGAAATCTTAATAGAACTCTATTCCAGACAGCCGTAGAATTAGGACTAGCTCCGAGGGGTAGGCCAAGATAGATGGTTGGGAGATAAGACCAACCGCAACCAAAAATGCATGCATAGATCTCAGGGTTCTGAACACTCCCAACGGGGAACATCATGCTTTTCTCGACATTGATTCTCAGTCCAGTCACCGCTTGAAAACATACTAAAGTTGACAGTAAGTTCAATACATGTTCCTCGTTTGCCTCGCAAAAGATGATAGTATCGTCGACATAAAGGAGATGTGTAACTTCCCCTCTAGAGTTGGGTTCATCCATGAAGAAACCGGAGATACAGCCCTCACTCCTAAGCGTTTCCAGCATAGCAGAAAGGATGTCCATAACGAGGAGGAAGAGGAAGGGAGACATAGGATCTCCTTGACGCAGACCTTTATGCGTTTTGAAAAAACCGGCAGCTTCCCCATTAACGAGAACCGAGAGAACAGGAGAGGTAACCAACCCTTTGATCCATAATTTAGCCCTCTGAGGAAAGCAAAAGCTATCCAGGATCTTGAACAGACAATTCCAATTAACATTGTCAAAGGCTTTTTCAATGTCAAGCTTGAAAACCAAACCTGGCTTGCCGCTCTTTCTCCTACTATCAATTAACTCGTTAGCTATCAAAGAAGCTTCGTGGATTTGTCGACCTTTGAGGCCTCCAAATTGATTACCGGAGACAGCCTTCATCACAACTGATCTATGTCTCTCGGTTATGGTCTTCGACAGCAGTTTGTTGACGCTGCTACGGAGGCTAATTGGGCGAAAGTCTCTAATCTCCTCCACCGCCTCCTTCTTAGGAATGAGGCAGAAAAAGGAGTGAGCAATGCACCTTGGGATCCTCCCATTATAGTGGAAGTTGTTGAAAGCCTTCAGAACATCTTCTTTTATAACCCCCCACTGTTTCTTGAAAAAGGCAAAGGAGTAACCATCTGGTCCAGGCGCCTTGTCTCCCGTACACCGTCGAACAATGTTCCAAACTTCCTCTTCCGTAAACGGTCTTGTAAGCAACTCACAGTCTTCTTCAGAAACGTTGTAGTTCCCGTACTGGGCTGGGAAGGGACGCTCCGGTAGGTCTTCAATGAAAACAGAATTGAAGTGACCAACAAAGGCTTCTTTTAGAGCTTCTTGTCCCTCAACCAACACACCATTAACCCTTATATTTGAGACCAGGTTCCTCCTCCTGTTATAGCTGGCCATTTTGTGGAAATAATTGGTGTTTTTGTCGCCCCGCTTTAGCCAAATTTCTCTAGATTTTTGGCGCCATGAGATCTCCTCCATGATCAGCAATTGATCCAGATTGCACTTAAGGTTACTTCTAGCAAGTAAATCATCCTCGCTGAGAGCACTTTCTTCCTCCTTCATGTCAATCTCTTTAACTTTCCCGAGGATCTCGGCAATTCTCTTTTCCACTATCCCGAACTCCTCTTTGTTCCAAACCTTGATGAGGCCCTTCAAGTGCTTCAATTTCTGTTCGAGCACGAACATGTCACCAATTCCATCAGGCTGTCCACTCCACCACTCTTCCATATGATTATCAAATGAAATGTCAAGGAGCCACATGTTTTCGAATTTCCATGGTCTGTGAGTATGTGTTAAGAAAACGTGTTGTTAGCAAGTAGCAACATAGTCATATTGGCCATAACTTTCACGGTAAATACAATTTAATAGTCAAAACTTTCATTTTAAACAAAATCTTTTAAAAAATAATTTAATAGCCAAACCGTTAACTTTTCGTCCAGTCAACTATTAGTTGATTTTGAAATGACAAATATGTGTACACGTCAGCCTATATTTGTTTTTCTTTATCATTTTATTGAAACTCTTTGAGTATGTGTTAAGAAAACGTGTTGTTAGCAAGTAGCAACATAGTCATATTGGCCATAACTTTCACGGTAAATACAATTTAATAGTCAAAACTTTCATTTTAAACAAAATCTTTTAAAAAATAATTTAATAGCCAAACCGTTAACTTTTCGTCCAGTCAACTATTAGTTGATTTTGAAATGACAAATATGTGTACACGTCAACCTATATTTGTTTTTCTTTATCATTTTATTGAATTAAAAATTATTTATTGCTAATAATACAAATAATTAAATTATAATCGCGGGAAAGAAAAACAAATCGCCAACCCTAACCATGAAAAAGAAAAAGAAGAAAAATTCCCCATCGCATATGCGCCTCCCTGCTCCCCAGTCCCCCCGACTCTCCAATTCCAAGTTTCCAAGATCAACAACAAAACCATCTCTTCTCTCCCGCGATGTATCTAGAACAGAGACGATTGAAACATCTGCTTCGGGGCGACTATTCTAGGGTATGCCGCTATGGCCCTGCCTCGCCACATTGCAGAATCATCCTTTTTTCTGGGATTCATATATCTCATTTGCTGGAGAAAAAGACCGGAGGAAGAGAGGAAGCAGCGCACCTGCCCAACCCGCCCAACTTGTTTTGTAAAATTATCTAAAATACATGTGGCATAGTCAAATGTTTGACTTTTTGCCACATTAGAAAAATACATCTAGCTCACTTAATTTTTGCCACGTCAGAATTAACTCACGATCAAATTGACGAAAAAATTGACGGTTTGGCTATTAAATTGTTTTCGAAAAAGTTTGACTATTATATTGTTTAAAACACAAAGGTTTTACTATTAAATTATATTTACCCTAACTTTTATTCTACTCTTATCAATTGAAACTTCAGTGTTGGCTGGTAGGGCTGATAATCGGTCGGTATCGGTTAAACCGGTTACTGAATAACCGGTTATCGGTATACCGGCAGAGGCAATACGAAATTCGACTATCGATACCGGTTGGTATCCGGTTAACCGGATAACCGGATAAACGGTTACCAACCGGTTATATCGAGAAACCGCACCCCCACCACTTACTCCTATTTTTTTATTTTTTCTTTAATTCTTTTTTCTTCTTCCTTCTTTCTCTTTCTGGATTTGAGTTTCCACTTCCAGGAAAACCTCCCACTTTCCCATCGTCCACTCCATAATCAACGACCACCGTCTTGCTTTTATAATTGACTTCTCCTTCTTCCTTCCTCTCTGACTTCTTCCCCTACCAGCCTTGTTCCCTCGTTTCCATCCCCATCACAGTTCAGATCTGCCACAAAGAGAGGGCAATCGAACAAAATCTTCCGGCGACTGTCTCTCCTGTCGTCGATGGCGAAGAGGAGAAGGAACGAGAAAGGGGATTCGTGGTGTAACATTGGCTAAACACCCATCTACCCTCATCTTTCCCTCTCCCCTGCTGGAAACGACACAGAGGAACGGAGATGGAAAGAAAGAAGGCGGTGCATGCGGATGCGGTGGTGAAATCTTGAGGTCCGATTCTGACGAATCACTCGCAGTGACGGCAGCGGCGGCACGACGGTGGGCGGATCAGGAGGTTTATTTGCAGTGGGTTCTTTCTCTCCGTTCGCATGCACCACTTGCAAACAAGATTTTCTGGGTGGAGATCGGAAAAGAGGAGGGTTGGGGAGAGAAGACCGAGAAAGAGAGGAGGTTGGGGAGAGGGAAATCGAGATAGAGATGACGGTTGGGGAGAGGAGATCGATCGATCCAGAGAGACAACGGTTGGGGTCTTGGGTGGAGGGATTGGGAAGAGTAGATCGATCGATCCAGAGAGATGATGCTTGGGGTTTTGGAGAGGGTTGGGGAGAGGAGATCGATCGAGGGAGAGAGAGCTGATGCTTTGGGAGTCTTGGGGAGGGTTGGGGAAAGGAAAAGGGACAGCTGAAAATGCGGAGTTGGGCGTGTATTAAGTAAAGGGATTGCCGAAACTCGGTTACTCGGTATACCGGATAACCGACGGTTATTAATCGGGTATAAAACTGTATACCGATAGTTGAATATTGGCTACCGTATACCGGTAACCGCTGGTTACCGGTTCAGTTAACGGTATAACCGTTAACCGAAAAACAGTTTACCACCCCGATTGGCTGGAGAGTGGAGTCTCGATTGAAGGGGAATTGGCTAAAAGGCCCAAGGAGCCCCGTAGTTTTAGATTTTGGTCAAGTAAACCCTTCAAGTTTTGTGTGTTGGTTTACTTTGTATTTATAAAACGAGTCATTTGGTCAAATATAGACGTTTCTAAATATGTTATTTGTTAAAAAGTTTTAAATACTTCATTTATATAATGTTATAATTTTATGTTTACATGTAATATGTTTCATTTTTTTTTGTTTGCTATCCTAATAAAGCTAACCACAATTGAAACTTCAGTGTTGGCTGGAGTCTCGATTGAAGGGGAATTGGCTAAAAGGCCCAAGGAGCCCCGTAGTTTTAGATTTTGGTCAATTAAACCCTTCAAGTTTTATGTGTGTTGGTTTACTTTGTATTTATAAAACGAGTCATTTGGTCAAATATTAATGTTTCTAAATATGTTATTTGTTAAAAAGTTTTAAATACTTCATTTATTTAATGTTATAATTTTGTGTTTACATGTAATATGTTTCATTTTTCTGTTTGCTATCCTAATAAAGCTAACCACGAAATCAATATTCATTATTCAGCCAACATGTAACATTTTAGTTGGGAATTAACCATATATAGTACTACTTTATATTTTTTGAACCCCAACTTTATGTTAACTTTCTTTAAAATTTGAATGACCTCAAAGTATATCATTTTACAACCAAACATGGGGTCGTTTGGATGTGGAAATTTTAAAACGTTGAAATTTGTTTGAATTTCCATGTTTTACAAAACCAAGGAATTGACTTGTGGAAATTGAAAAAAAATTCACGTTTGGATAGGGTTTAGTTTTGTGGGAATTGATGGTGTGGAATTTGAAAAAAGAAGTAAGAAAATGTGGTAATGTCAAATTACTAGGAGGAGGTGTAGTATTCTCAATTACCATGAATGTGGTAATTGAAGTCAATTCCCATGGTCCAATTTCCATACCATTTTTGCTCTCTCAAACGTGGATTTTTAACCCAATTACTACATTATGTAGTAATTGGGTCCAATTACTATATTACATTTCCACGTCCAAACGACCCCTATAATCTATATTTTGAACATGTCTCTAAAATATAATAACTATTTCACAAGAAAGTAATTGAAAAATACCAATGGAGAATTATTGGAAAGCATTGTTTGCAAATAATTAGAGCATTGTGTTTATGAGGACAAAATAGAGAAGAGTTAGTATTGGGTTATGGAAAGGGGAAAGATTAAGATTGAAAAATTGTGATGAAAAATTATTCATTTGTAAATGACTGAGAGGCAGTCATTGAACTTTTCGTTAGAACTAAATAACTCATTTTGACACCAAATGACTCATAAAAATATAGCAAACGAACTCCAAGATGCATTCGTATATGTTTTTGAGTTTTTCCTTTTGCATCTTATGTCGCGAGAGTAAAAAAAATGGGTGCAGTCCGGCCACGCCACATCTCAATCGTTCATACTGCAATTTAATGCGATTTGATCCACACACATATATGAGAGCAGAATGCATCCACTAATCGACTTCATCATAATCTAAATCTAAAACGGAAGAAGCCATTGGAACTAAAACTACAAATCCATAAATTAAGTACAGAAAACAGAGGACTCTACATTAACCGCAGCTCAACAAAGGAAACAGAGGAAGGAGTAGCGCAAATAGAAATAATGTTTCTAAACAGAGGACTCTGCATTAACAGGAAATACGAGGGAGTGGAGCCGGGAGCACTGCTTCACCAGCTGTGAAAAACCGCAAACAGGGAGAAACAAACAAGCAAGAAAGGAGTAAAAACACAGTAGCAGCAGAAGCACCACAACAGACAATGGGGTTAATACGTTATACGTGAATGACTCACTCACTAATAAGGCTTCCATCTCTCTTTCTCCATAGCCAGAAAGAATCACAGCAACAGAATAACCGCGCTAGCCCAAGCTGGTGCAGCAGAGCAGGTTGACAAAGAAAACGGGTTGGTTTTTTGTGTTTCAGCAGTTGGCCGTTTTGCAGTTTTGAACCACAACAAAACAGCACGGTTTCGCTCAACTCAAAACTAGAAGCCGCGAACCGCTTAAAACGCAGACAGCAAGCTTCATAAGGGCAAGCATTAATTTCATCGTCAATAAGCATCATCGACTAAAACAATTGCTATACCTTTTCATAGAAGCTCACCACAGATGAAACAACATTATCAAATCATCATTTGACCTTATCTACAGACCGAAAGGAAATTCGAGATCTATCGCAGCTCCAACAGCAGCCAATCATTTGAATTGCACGCTTGGCAACATACTATTTATACAAGCTAGTGACCAGATTTTATATCCCAAAGCTCAAACAACACACAAAGCTTTTCTAGTCATTCAAATCATTCCATTCATTCATACTTCAATCATGATTCTAAGTCATTCATTCACAATTCACAGCAATGGAAACCCTAAGCCTCACATCACATGGAACCCCAAATCCCAGACGCAAAATGGGACTAAGCACCACCACTACCAGCTTCCGCGGCAGCCATGAGACTTTCCCCAATCTTACAAGACAAGAAGGCATCAATGCAGGCATACTGAACTTGGACAGGAGTGAGCCAAGGGTTGTCCCACCTGCTCATCTGTACCCTCTTGGGCTTGGCGATCTCTTTCCCCAGCACTTCCTTCGCCAGCTGCTTCAGCCCCGCGTTCTTCAGCTCCTTCACTCCAAGCTTACTCGCCGCCAGTTGCCTCAGGTCAACAACATTGGCCACTTTCAAGCCGTAATCCTCCAACAGCTTCTCCACGTCGCCGTCGATTCCGACGCCGGCGAAGACATAGTCCTTGCTCCGGAGGAAATCGAAGAGGGATTGAGGGATTGAGGGGGAGTGGATCAGCTGGAAGATCACGCACCTGTTGCCCACGCAGAGCTGGAGGGTCGCGATTGGGTTGTCCATGTTGCGGCTGAAGTTGGGGCGCCACTCCACGTCCAGGCCGACCACCACCGGCGCGGCGGCGGATGAGTTGGAGGTCCGTTGCTGCTGGGTGGTTTCGAGGAGCCATTGGTGGAGGGGACCGGGGGATTGGGCGAGGAGGGTGTGAATTTCGTCGGTGCAGAAGGTGACGTCGTAAAGATTGTGGGTGTCGTCGGGGAGACCGTGGTCTTTGATGCTGATTGTCGCCATTGTTGCTTGAGAGCTCTCCTCCGCCATTCTTTGATTTTTTTCCCCCTAGGTCAACTACTCAGCAGGGTTTTAGTAAAAGGAAAACCTAATCGTGTTTTATACTAATAATTATCTTTCCATCGTATCTGTTGGACTAAATTGTAAAATTTACGAACTGAAGTGACAAAATTGTATATGATTGAGAATTGTAGGTCCCCGCATTTCATTCCTTCCTCCTCTAAACAGAGGCCGAAGAGCAAATTCAAGCTTGGTGATACTTTTGCTTGCACGCATCCAATGTCTTACCCACTCAGTCACAGAATCACCAACAGCAGCTACCAGTCCACTGCTCTACCTTCCTCCTTCGTCAATCCCACCGTAAGGCTGCAACTCGATTTCCTTGGCCGCAATTTCTTCCCTGGTTTCGGCTTTCTCGTTCATTATCGGAATGGGCAAATTCTGTTTTCGGCTGTTTTGAGTTTTGAGTGCGTTAGCTCGCGCGCTGAACGGCGACATCTAACCTTTTTTTGTTTTTTGTTTTTTGGGATTTCATCAGCTTCAGCGTCCCGTTAGGCTTCCCATCTCCATTCTCGGGTTTTCCAGAAGGATTTACATCCATGAACTGAACGGTGGCGCTCCAGCTCGACTCCCTTCGCCGCCGCTTCTCTGCTCAATCAAAGCCGACAACAATGTGAGTCGAGCTTCTGAGAGTTATCTACTTTTTCCCTCTCTTTCAAGCTGGGCTTTATATTCTATTCTTAAGCGATCGTTTCTCCTCTCTTGCCATTGTTGTTCAAGGTTAGGCTTATGATCCCAGGGAGTCAGGAAACAGTCATAACCACGAAGGTTCCGTTTTTCTCTTTCCTTTAGCTAGGATCTTGCATTGTTCTGTGTTGGCTGATTCAGAAGTGGAATTATAACAGTATGATGCTGACCATTTCAGGTTCGGTGGAAAAGGATGACACTGGTCAAGGGTCATTCACTTTCAACTCGAAGGAGTAATTACTGTTCTTCACATTGGTTTATTCAGAATGGTTGTTCATCTTTTGATGGGACGGTTGCTTTTTGTGCCCTCGCATAACAGTAAGGTTATCTAATATGATATGCTAGTGCAACTACTGAAGTAGGTAACTCGAGTATTTCTATGAAAATAGCAGCTTTCTTACCGCTCTCAAATTCAAACTGTGATTTCTTATCAGAATGGTTTGATTTGTTACTTTGGGAAGGAAGTGTGAATGTGAGAGGATATTAGTCTCGTGGAAGTTATCTGCCGTGAATTGACCGACTGGCTCTGTCAATTTCCAGGGTATTGAAGAAGCTAAGAAGATATGGAGTTTCTGGTGTGTTAGCTTATGGGCTCCTGAATACTGCCTACTACCTGACAACCTTTCTTTTTGTCTGGTGAGTGATCTATACTGGTCTTGCCTAGCATAACAACTCCAATCATCAAAGATATCATTGCTTGGAATCCTTCATTGGAGATGCTCTCTGTGCTCGTTGTAGCTCATTTTGTGTTGCACCGGACGAAATTGAGGATTAGGAGCAGCATTAATTCATTCTTACTTACACACCTGTATTGCCAATCAACAGTAGTTAGTTTCTTCATGAACGAAAATTTGGTCATCAACCAGTTTGGAGATTCTTCTATATTTGAATAGTAGTATATTTCGACACCTCTGCTTGCTGGCGTATCTGACTACCATTCATGACTAATTAACTTTCGCCACGATGTGGTTGTAGTCCGGCTGTGTATCTTTTAGGTACTAAAATGCCGAGAGGTAGTGGACTGTACTTGGAACAGCAGGGCCAGCTTGCTTGCTGGGTTGTAAGAGCCATCACAATTTCCTTCCGTTTGGCAGGTTATATGTTGCTCCGGCTCCTGGAAAGATGGGGTTTTCTGCTGCTGCTGAAAGGTGACGGCATATTTCCTGTCTTAATGTGTTTGTAAGATTATCACACTGACAATTTTAGCAGTTTACAGGTTTCTCAAAGTGATGGCCATGGTATGGGCTGGAAGCCAAGTTACTAAAGTTGTTCGAGCAGGAGGGTGAGCAGCGAGAACTTAGTGTCTTCTGATCCAGCTACGATTCAGTATTCTTCTGTTTGTATTTTCACGACATCATTTCCAGTCTGGTACTCAGCTCCTCTTTCACTAAAGAGATTCCAATTTGTCAGGGCTCTTGCTCTTGCACCTTTTGTTGACAGAGGATTGTCATGGTTCACTGCCAAATTCAGGTTCGAGAATCAAGGAAAGGTATGCAACTCTTTTGACCTTTCTTCTTCAACTTATGAATGCCTATCTAGATTGACAATTGCCCTGTCTCATCTTTGCTAAAATTCAGGCGTTCGCTGTAATTGCTGGAGCCTGTTTTGGAATCGCCATACTTCTATTCCTCGTTGTGACATTACTCTGGGCATAAACTTTAGAACATCTTCCGTATGTAAATCGAAGGATTGGGACAGATTTTGTTACAGACTTTGAAGCACACTAGTACATTTGGGTCCTGAACTTTGGATCAGTCAATACGTGTATAAAATAATCAAACTCAGTATTCCCTCTCGAATTGTTCTAACCCTAGAACTGGATAGCTTTGATTGTCTTTTGGAGTGGTGAAACTTGTTTGCTTGGTAGGCAACAACTTATTTCCTGTTTCGTCCATGCAAGTCTCAAGACCGCAGGCATTGCACAACAGCTCCACATCTGATTCCTGTCAAAATAATGTCCAACACCATGTTATTTACATAAAAATGCATCTCATTAATACGGAAGACAAAAACTTGGGGGAGCCATCTAGACACATACCTTCATTATCAAGATATTCGACAGGCGAGTGAGAGGGTAAGGATGAAGCTTGTAGCCAACACTGTTAATACATGACAGAGCAAACATTCGGACCTTGATGCCCAAATATCAGCACACAACACACATCACAGTTAGTACTTATTTCGTCCGTGGTTCATTTAAAAGCGAAAGTATGTGATTTTCTCACCTGGTTAACATACGGTTCAAGAATACAGTACTGTAAATACGATGCTTCGGCAGCTATGGTTGACAGAAAGTGCTTGTAATTCCCAAGCCGAAAAGACCTGTTATGAGGTAAAAGAAAGGGCTCAGCTTAGGAAAGGGGAACATCATAAGTCATCTGAAAATGGTAGAGAACAATGGACAAAACATATACCGTAGAACTCCACGGGCAAAGCACATCTCTGATGACCGGATGATGGATGTAGGCAAGCAACGAAACCACAAAGCAAGTGATTCCCCCTGCGAGCAAACATACATATATTTTTTAATTTACAAACAGTTGTCGACTAACTTGAAATAACAAAACCAGTAAAAAGGATACTAGATGTACTGACTGCTGGCTGATTTCTGGAGTCAAGATGAAGAAGCACATAGAATGAACAAAACTCAGCCTCATTTTTGTGTACCGAATTGGAATCTTCATGATTCACATCGTACAGATTGTATAGTGAAGTGAGAGCCTTTGTGAGCTGCTCCATGTTGAGGTAATGGATTGAAGAAGTGGTTGATTTCTTGCTGTGAGGTCGAAGCTTGAGGTGAGATATGATGTGAAACTTTACCTGCCTGACAAAAATTCCAGAGTGAAACGAAACTGTATGCATATACCACTTCATAAATGTAAACAGCAACACAACACAGGGAATAAATGAGTAGAAGAAAACCATACCATTTCCTCGTACATGTAGATTGCTTTCTTATTGGCAATGTTCTGCATGCTGAGATCTTGTCTAATGGACCTTGTCCTGTCAAAGATGAAGTCGTGAAGTACTTCAAATGAATGATTTGTCGTGTCCAACAATGTTAGAAGGTAGCTCAGTGTCTCTTCCAGAACAGGAAGGGGCCTTATATCTGATACTTGTCCTTCCTTGGCGGATATAGTCCTGCAGAACTACCAAGCCAAGTTGGGAGATAGGTTAACTTTCAGGCTGGAATTCAACAAAATTAGGAGGTCAATCAAGCATGATTTCCAATCCTCTAATTCGTAAACATAACTGTCAACCTGCACAGATGCATATTATTTGTTACAACTACAATTGGAGTTCCATAGTAAGGGATTGCCAAGCCAATAGCGAACATGTCTTTATCAGGGGTACTTGACCACAACTTCCATGGAAGGCTCACTAATGGTGGAGTATCAAGTTAGTTTTGTGTGGTTCTGATCGTCAAATGAAAAACTATGTCGCCAGTTTTTCAAGACAGAAGAAAGCAAATGGGTAGAGCATTGGAGTATCTCATAATAATTTTAAGAATTCACTCCTAGAAGCAACATAACTAAGAACTAACAATACGAATTACAACAAAAAGATGGATAATACATAGCTTACCTTCTTGACAGCCAAGCTGGGAGATGTTTTCCCAGGATTTCCATGGAGTCTTTCAAAAACAGCCAGATCTCTTAGCCGCTCTCTTTGAGCCCTTTCACCCTCTGTTGTCACAAATATCAACAAGGATATGTAACAGGAGCACACAAATATATCAAAGTATATACAATTCATAAGTGAAACAGAATTTGTATTTGTATCAGGTAGTTAGTATAATAAAGATAGAGAGACTTCATTCAAATGGTTTGCAAATGAAAAGGAACAACAATACATCCATGTAAGGGGTGCAAATAATGTGAATTGAAAGACTATGGATGAGATTTTCGTCCCAAAAAAAGATTTTGCAGAACAAAAAGGATAATTGCTTCAGTGTATTTTGAGTGTCAACTGTCAAGTGCTAAAGTACACGACAGGTTGAGGCCTGAAATCTGGTTTCTCGATAAGTAATCTTCCACTCTCAACTCCAATCAGTGTTAGGATGTCAGCCATACCCCTAATTCTCGTTCTTCCAGCTCTCTTATTACCTCAAACTTACTTGCACAACAGGTGTGCAGTATCACTGCACTCTCGTTCGAAAACCAGAGCTACCAGTATCACTGCAACCTAGAGCTACCAGAATGACTCCATCTGACTACCGAGTTTTCAACAATCTGAAAGCTAAAGAACCCCTACTAGAGTTGTCAGTTCAAGTTTCAAGAGGCATCTCCAATTCCAGCCCTGGGATTTTCAGTCACTGAAGATGAAGAGGGAGTTGGCAGTTGAGTAGGGTGACAAATATCTTAGCTATCACTATCAGGGTGCAACTACTGGAAATGAGCAAGCAAGCATGAACATTCTGTTACCTGGGCACATAAAAGGACAGGTTCCAATTAGAGCGGGAATCTCGGATAGGCCATCTTCCTTCTCTCCACCTTCAGCTTCCAATTTCAGTTTCGGTTTCTGGGTATTGTTGCGTGTCGTCGATTGCTTCCTGGATCTCCAGTCCGATTCCCGGAAAGCCCCGAAATCCCCTCTACTCGCCGCGCCCGAAGAAGTACTAGAAGACGAAGAAAAAGGAAGGATTTGACGTTGGTGACGCCGATGATTGTTTCTCTCCATTGCCCAATTCTCAAATTCCTTCTTTCAGAGGCTGTGGATCGATTAACAGGGAAAGAGACGATCGTCTCATGAAATTAGAAAGGTAAGAGCTTTCATCATCTCGACCAGGGTGGATATCGGTACAAGAATCTCAATACCAAATACCGATATCCCGAATAGTGAATTACACTCTAAAATCAATCTCAATCCCAATGCCTAAATAATTTCGCTATCTCAATCGGTACTTCGGTATCCCAATCGGTATTATCGAATACATAATTAATTACATTTGCAATTAATAATTAAATATATAAATTAGATTTTATTATTTAATTCATGGCAAAGAGACTAAGCAAATAGTCTTGAGTTGCCTAGAGCTAACATCTCAAGTTCTTGTAATTTGTAATCTTTAATTTGACGAATTTGAGGTTGAGAGACGACTAATACTAGTGTGAAATAGTTATGTAATGATCTATGTATTAAATGACACTTTTGGTGGTTGATGGTCGCGTAGTAGTGAATGAGAGAGTCTAGTTGAGAGGATAAAATACACACTAGCTTATATTTCGGTATCGATCGGTATTTCGGTATATATCGATCCCAATCCCGTAATCCCTAATACCGAATAACAATTGAAATTCAATCCCAATCCCAATCCCAATATCACAAATAATACTTGTATTCGGTAATATCAAATATAGACAAATTCGGTACGGTATTTGGTATATCCCAAATGGCTTAATTGCAAGTTTGGTCACTCGAATTGCTATAAAATTTCACGTTTGCCACTCAAATTAATTTATTCCATTTATAGTCACTCGAATTAGTTGAACAGTTCAAGTTCGGTCACTCTCCGTTAACCTCTGTTAACTTTAACTGACGTGGCGGTCAACTCTAACCGTTGACCGTTAAATGTGTGACGTGGTAAATAAAAAATAATTAAAAAATAAAAATTAAATTTTTAGAAATTACACATCATTATCACAAAAAATTATAATTATAAAAAATGAAAAAAAAATCCTTCCCAACCATAATTGCTCCATCTCCCACATTATAGAAGCCATTACTCGTTATATTTCCCCACTCTCTTTAGATTAGCTGTTAATCTGTTACGTACCATGAATCTTTGTTTACAGGAGCATTAGGAACAACATGACGAGAAGGAAGTTGGGATACTTGTCTTGTTCCACGGGCAATCATATCGACGACTGCTGGCGATGCGACCCCAACTGGCAATCCCACCGCAAGCGCCTGGCCAACTGAGCCATCGGCTTCGGCCGCAATGCCATCGGTGGCCGAGACGGCCGCTACTACGTGGTCACGATGCCACGTACGTTGCTGCTCTTCAAAGGCCGACGCGCCTCCCTCCGCCAAGTTTGCCCCGAACCGGAAATTGCTGCTCTTCAGCTCTCCCGGAAACGGCGTCAGCAGAGGAAGCCCCAATTTCTCAGCTGATTCAAACCCAAATCCGAAAACAAAAACATTACACACTGAGTTCAATATATATATGCAGCAAGGTATAATTAAGAAAACCCGCTGGAAGAGCTAGCGTTAAGTGAAATATATATATTACCAATGAAGTCGACGATGAGACGCCCGTTGCAGCAGCGACCAGTCGGGCGACCGAAGTAAGTTTCGCCGTTTGGTAGGAAGCAACAGTGAGGGCACTTACCCAGCAGCATCTGGTTGCCGGTTTTGCTTACGGAGTCGCCGAAGCTGAACAGTGACGTGAAGCATGGCCCGATACCACCGCCGGCTGCTTCTGATGCCGCCGCCGACAAGTTTGAATAGTCGGCGGAGGCGGACAGGAGGCTCAGGAAGAGAAGAGTAGGGCTGAACAGAGAACTGATAGTGGTCCGAATTGCCACTTTCAGTAATGAATAAATTGGGAAGCTGAAGCTGCGATAAGTGATTTTGGGAATTTTTGCTTCCATTCGGCTTTTTATTTTTTATAATTATAATTTTTTGTGATAATGATGTGTAATTTCTAAAAATTTAATTTTTATTTTTTAATTTCCACGTCACACATTTAACGGTCTACTGTCAGAATTAACCGCCACGTCAGTCAAAGTTAACAGAGGTTAACGGAGAGTGACCGAACTTGAACTGTTCAACTAATTCGAGTGACTATAAATGGAATAAATTAATTTGAGTGGCAAACGTGAAATTTTATAGCAATTCGAGTGACCAAACTTGCAATTAAGCCTATCCCAAATAGTGGTACCAAACTTCAAGCCCTAATCTCGACTATCGAGTATAAACAAAGCTTTTCTTCGGGTCCTATAAAACGACAGCGTGTAGGTACTAGATAGCTATCGAAAGAACTTACTGCTCACCGTCGAGTCGTCGACAATGGCACGGCTTGGCACGTGGTAGTAAACTAGTAAAGTAATTCAGATTCAGCGCATAAACCCTAATCATTTCGTAGTTCATTCGCTGCTTTCAGTGGGAATCACAGGAGCTGCCGCCGGCGGAGACTTCTCCTCTACTTATGATGGCGAAGTCTTTCGTAAATGTGGGTTTCGCCTCAGCACTGGAAAAAATGGCGACCACCAGGCTCGGGAGCATTCTGTATGTAATCCCAAGTCGGTTTCTCTCAAATGCGGCGCCTTCTTCTTCATTTACCGTCGACTACCTCGTCAAGTCATGCGGCCTTCCCATGGAATCAGCTCTCATCGCTTCAAGGAAGCTCCAGCTCGACGCGAAGAAGAACGGGAAGCCCGAGTCCGTACTTCAATTTCTTAGATCCCATGGTTTCACCGATGCCCACATATCCACATTGGTTCAGAAGCGCCCCACGGTTCTCCATTGCAGAATAAGCAACAATCTTGGGCCTAAGTTCGAGTTCCTCAACAAAGTTGGATTCGTGGGTAAACAACTTCCTGACCTAATTGTGTCCAATCCTTTACTTGTCAAGAGCTCTTTAGATTCTTACATTAAGCCATCCGTTGAGTATCTGCTCTTGCTTCTCGGTAGTTCTGATAAAATCATGTCCACAATTAAGCGTTCCTCGTGGCTGCTGAGCTATGATTTGAAGGGAAACATGCAGCCAAATATAGACTTCTTGTTAGGTGAAGGAATTCCTAGGGCCTATATTGTGAACATGGTTTCTGCTCATCCGAGATTCATATTGATTAAGCAGTCCAGGATGGTCCAAGCTGTAAGTACTTGTAAGAAGTTGGGGTTTGAACCCAAATCGCGAATGTTTTTGCATGCTCTGAGATCTGCACTGTCAATGAGTGATGCGACCATGAAGAAGAAAATCGAAGTAATGAAGAGTACGGGGTGGACTGAAGAGGAGATCTTGTCTGCATTTAGGCGGGACCCGCTTTGCTTATCTTGCTCCGAGGAGAAGATCAGGAATGCAATGGACTTTTATGTCAACACTATGAAGTTGAAACCTTCGGTTGTAATCAAGTATCCGAAGTTGATCATGCACTCGATTGAGAAAAGGATGCGCCCTAGGTATAATGTCCTGCAGATTTTGGTGTCGAAGAAGCTGATTTCTGAGACCAAGCTTTGCTGGCAGCTAACTATACCTGAGAACAAATTTGTTCAGAATTTTGTAATGAAGTACGAAGCTGATGTCCCGGGATTGTTTGAGAAGTACGAGGCTTCCAAATTGGCGAAAAGGAAGGATCATTGATTGCAGAAATTGAGCCTGCATTTTTTACTTGTGAGTTGTTGCTTGATATATTTGTTCTGTTTTATCGTTTAATTGTTGATTAGGCAGTTAAGTGTTCTTCTATTTGTTATCATATTGAACTGAAATCTTAGCTGTCATGCTTGTTATCCTTCCTAATTTCTGTGTTCACTCGGTAACCTGTGGGACACTCATTGAAGAGTTGAGTCTCTGCATTTCGTTAAGAGCATGTCCCTTGTTCTGCTATGCAAAAGCTGTTTCTTTTACTGATTGCCTTGCTCGACTGATTTATGTTTCTGGTAATATAGATAACCACTTTGTATGCTGATGTGATATTTTGAGCTAGAAATTTCACCTCAGTCAAGTATAACCCCTGTCTCATTGCCTCTTTGCCGATGACACAGTCATCTTTGGCGAAGCTTCAACTTCTTAAGCAGAGAAGATCCTGGGGATCCTCAACGACTATGGATCGATAACAGGACAGGAGGTTAATAGAGAAAAATCCTCCTTCTTCTTCAGTCGCTGCCAGATGATGAAAAAGAAAGAATCATTCAGACGGTTGGATTTGCGGAGTCGAATTGCCACTCAAGCTACCTTGGCGTCCCTACTGAATGAGGAAGATCAAAGAAGGAAACTTTTCACTTCATCATTCAAAGAATGGAAAGCAAAGGAGAATCCTGGAAGAGTCTGCTTTTGTCACCAGGAGGTAAAGAAACACTCCTTAAGGCTGTTTTCCAAGCCTTACCTTCCTTCGTTATGTGTCTTTTCCTTCTCCCACGATCAACCACCAACAAAATGGACTCCATGCTCAAAAATTTCTTCTGGGGAGGGAACATTTCCAAGCGATCAATACACTGGAGAGCGGGACATGTCCTTTATGCACCTAAAGAGGAAGGGGGGTTGGGGTTCAGACCCTTTCGCATCTTTAATCTGGCCCTTCTTGCAAAGCAAGCGTGGCGTGTCCTTACCTGCCCAAATTCTCTGTGGGTGAAAGTGCTAAAAAGCATTTACTTCCCAAGAACGGATTTCCTGTCAGCAAAAAAGGAAAGCAAAGCATCTTGGATCTGGGCCAGCCTCTGGGGAGTGAAGAACTGGATGGAGAAGGGAGTGATTTGAGTAATCGGGAATGGGGAAACAACGAGGATGTTCCAGGATCCCTGGCGCTTTGATTGGCCAGGTCCCCTCACCCCTCGCAGACCTAATGATTCATCAACGGCTGCCATGTTCATAGATGCTATCACAAGAGAATGGAATTTCGACCTCTTTGGGCATTTCCTCGACCCTCAAGACCTCCTCATTACAGCTGGCACACCTATTGGACCTGCTACAATGGCTGATTTCTGGGCATGGAGATTTTCTAAGCAAGGTAATTTCTCGGTAAAATATGCTTTTCACCTCATTCACAATCAATCTCGCAGATGCCAAGGAGTTGTTAACCCTTTCCCGGAAGCAACAAAAGAAAAATGGAAGTGGCTTTGGAGCTTGTCTCTCCCTCCAAAGATGAAGTTCTTCGTCTGGAGATGTGCAAAGAATGCTATGGCCTCGAAAGAGAACCTGTTTGCGAGGAAATGCTCTCCCACCAAAGCATGTGCCCTCTGCAACTGCCCATCTGAATCAATCCACCACTGCCTTTTCTCATGCCCACACGCAGAGACAGGGTGGGTTTCCGAGTGGCCTGGACTGTGTCTCCCTCCTCCACTCACCAACATGTTGGATTGGCTGTTCTTCTTACAGTCTCGACTTTCAAGTCTCTCGATCCAGCGAATCATTTTTCAGATGTTGTAGACTTGGAAGACCAGGAATGAGTGTATTTTCTCAGGTATTCTCCCTTGGCCACCCACCACGACCTCCAGAGCACAGAATGCACATCACCAATGGATAAACTGCCCCAGGAAGATTGGAGATCTTCCCCTACAAACTCAGCACAATCCACCCCTTGATCGGTCCTCTCCACCGCCAAGTACTCATGACTTTGAGATACACTGTGACGGATCATTCTTCAGTGATTCACAGGAGGCGGCATTTGGCATCGTTGTGACGTATTGCCACGGACAGGTGTGTGACGGGAATGCTGAGACTCTGCATTGCTTTTCACCTCTTGAAGCAGAAGCAAAGACCCTTTGGGAGGGAGCGCGCATGGCGGCTTCACTGGCAGCACCTTGCCTGATTCTTTCTGATTGCCTCTCCCTCATTAAGGCACTTGCCAACAGTAAAGATTGCTGGCCATGGCGAGCAACAGTTTGGATTAACCACATCAAGAACCTTGCATCCAGCCACCCAGATATTCGGTTCGACTACACCAACAGGAAAAGGAATTACAAAGCGAACTGGGTAGCGCGGTCGTGTGCAAAAGTACAGCTTTCATCGGAATGGATTCATGTACTTGATGTTATTGCTCCTCTGTTGTAACCGATGGCTTCTGCCACAAGTAATGAAAATCTTTGCCCTTTGTCAAAAAAAAAAAAAAAAGTATAACAAGCCATGGGTGATCATAGATATTGGCCTATTGCATATCTTTCCTAGCAACTATGTGATTGCTGCATCATTTCCTTCCTGTGCATTTTGTTTGTACCAGTTTTAATCTCTCACTATTTTTGGGTTTCAGAGATTCACGATTACAAGCATCAAGTTGAGGGCACGAAGCTTGCATGAAACTTACCGATGGAGTGCAAGCATTTGGCTGGTGTGCCTCTGGGTTGCTGTATATATATGACAGCAATGTTGGAGGAGCTTAGAGCTTTGGTGATTTCAAGACATCAACTGGAAAGTGTAGAATGACTTCAGTGCTAGATGAGTTAGAAGATGGATGATTTCTTGAGCATGACTTGGTCGGTTCCAGAGTTGAAACTTATTTGTGTTGAAATCTGAGAACTAATTACTCGACTGCAGCTCATTGTAACTTCGACAGTCGACAGAGGCTCATCTGATGTGCTACCTGCTGCTTGCCCTTTCGACACATGACATTAGAAACCTCAACACTTCTTTTTGAGAAGCAAGTTGTAACGTGAAAAATCAATCACGAATCGGCAAATCAAAGAAATAATTATTGAATTTTGATTCATTCCTTTCTACGACATCTTCCATGGAATCTTTGGATATTACTTTCATTTCAATAGTTATTCTCAATATTGATATAGTAATGGGGTTTGTTGTGTTTTCAACTAAGAGAGTAACACAGACCGTGATGTAATTGGCGGATCATCCAAACTGGTACACCCAAAACCCCTAAAGCAGAACGGTTTCCGGTTAGTAGTTAACCGGACGGTTTCAACCGAATCGACCGGTTTTTGGCTAACCGAAAACCGTTTCTTTTTGTATCGGTCGATTGCTGGAAGAGAGGTGAAAAGGTTCGGCTAGTCGACTAACCGGGGTCGGAAACCGGCGGTTAACCAGCTAACCGAACTTTTCCCCTTTACTCCAAAACGACCCACTCCATTCCTCCTAAACGACCCCCAAACCCTTTCGACCTTCGCTGTCCCCTTCCCCCTTCTCGCGCAGGCGCCGCAGTGCCGCAGAAAACCCTCATCCCCGCCCGCAGAAAACCCCCTGCCGCCTCCACCTCGTCGCCCCGCCGCCTCCAACAGCCACTCTCGCCGCCGCCGGCCCTGCGAACTCGTCGCCCTCCCCTGTTTCTGGGCTTCCCTCTTCTTCAATTGCATCAACGCCAACGTCGCCAAGAAGACTCCCGCTGGTGCGCTGCAAATGCAATTATGCAAGTTTATTAGAAATTAGAATGATGATTTTGAATGTTGATGATTGATTATGAATGTCGAATGATGATTTTGAATGATTTAATTTTAGGTAATTTCAATTTTTTTCTTTCTGCAGGTCGGTCGGTTAGGCAGTTAAATTCGAACCGATCTCCATTTCTCGGTTTCCCGGTTAGACCGAGCCAAAATTGAAAACCGGTTGATCGCTCTGCGGCTAACCGAGGCTCCAGGGACCGTCGATTGTCGATAGCCGCGGTCAAGGTATCGGTTTAACCGATAACTGAGAAGTTGGTTTTCGGTTAAACCGAAATCGACCGACTGACAGCCCTACTCAAAACCACTTCCCTCCATAGCTTTGTGGTGAGCAAGGTTGTCAACTTGGTTTAGCTCATTGGCCCGTCGAATAAGTGGGTTAATCAGCTCATGTCTGGATTAGTTTACGGTAGCAGGCGACCAAAATGACGAGAAAGAAAAATGTCACAAATGGTTAGCTAACGGAGTAGAACGGAGGAGGTAGAGGAGGAGAGAGGTAGAGGAGGAGACATCATCAAGTTAGGGATTATTCATAAAAGTTAACTAAAATATTAAATGTTAAAATATTAATTTAAATGTTATTTTTGTACGTGGCATTTACGTGTTGCAAACGTGGACAATACATAGGTGTCATTTCATCAATGATGAGACAAAGGTTGACCACCATTAAATCAACCGTTAATTCTAAATATTAAAAGAAACTCGTGTAACACAAATGACGTATGCAACCAATAGATTAAAATATTAATATATTTATTAAAGTGTCATAATATACATGACACTCTCACTAAATATTGATATTTTTAGTGGTATTAGCTTAACTATTGCCAAAACTATCTCGGTCTAATTCCAACCCCTTTTATTTAAATGAATGGCTATTTATCACCCTTAGTTTTACTATTTGCCGCCCATAGTTACAAAAAATATGACGAATATGCCCTTTCTTCTAACTAACCCTAAATCCTATAAAACCCATCCCCTCACAACCTCCTCCCTCCTCCCACAACAACCGCCGTCGCCGACCCCTCCATTCCTCCGACCTGGTCTGCCGGCCCCTCCATTCGTTCGACCTCACTCGCCCCGACAAAATCGCGGGCATTGAAGGGGAAAGAGCTCGTCGCGGGTGCTGTCGTCGCCGACGTAGAGAAATGAGACTAGGTCCGACCGCTGGACGCGGACGGGGTCCGCTCGCCCTGCACGGACGAGGTTTGAATTTCAACGGCGGACGGGGTCCGAAATTCGGCGGCGGACCGGTTCCGAGACCCGACGGTCACTGTTTCTTTTTTCAAAAATCGTTTTTGAATTATTATTTATTTATTTAGTAATTAAATAAGTGTAAAACACCATATAATTAAATAAGTGTTAACAACTCAATCCACTTATGGTAGTTATCAAACACGTATAGAATATAATTTATTAATATATTACTTTGACCACAGTTGGTTGAGGGAATTAGGGTTTAACTTAATTAGGGTCAAAGGTAGGGTTTTGACTTTGAAAAATAGGGTTTAATTTTGACAAATTAGGGTTTGACTTTGACTAATTAGGGTTTAATTTAATTACTTAAAATAATTCTCTTTTTAATTTGTTTGGTAAAATTAGTTTAATGAATAAGTGTGGAGAGGCTGGAATTAGCTAGATTAATTAATATTTAATCTAATCGGAACAATGATAACGACAACAAAAGATGAAAGCATATCTTCCCCTTCTACACATTCTACCTTTCTCAAACCCTAAACCCTAATTTCCATAAAATAGCTAACTTCAACCTCAATCCATCCAATCCTACTACGACATTGTCTTAGAGGTAAAATCGTTTCTACTTCCACTAACAACATTTGTTTGCATCATTGAAATACGCATGATAGGCTCAAGAAACACCTTTTATGATTCACAGAGCCCCCAAAAATCTCGATAGAAATTTTTGGCACAATTCATCTTTTTTTATAGTAAGTGTAGGTGACTCACTCCTACTTTCACCCTAGAAAATGGCCAAGTGTAACCACTTCCTAGAGCGTAGTATAGCGGGTTTGGGTTTTATTGTCAACCCGGGTCCTAGATGTGATGACTACTCAGTGAATTCTTATTATCTATCAGTGAAACTTTAGTGCAGGTTCAATTAAGCAAACAAGCAAAGCAATTAAACGGTTGTTTCAAGTCGAGAGAGGTCACCCGGATATGGTTCCCCCTAGACTGCAGTTAAGCCGGATTGTAATTTACCAAGTTCAATTTCTATGATAGTTATACTGCGGAAGGTTCTTAAACAGTCTGAAGTCTCGACTAAAGGTCTCCAGACCCTCTCAATTTGAGTCCCCAGCGGGCGACTAACCTCCACCGGAGTAAACAGATTGAGGCCCTAACGAACCAAACCTCCACTACCGAAGTAAATTCGGTACAGAATAGTGAATTGGCTCCACGACTAAAGTCGCCAATTCACTACCTTCAATTAAGGGTGCTCTATTAACCTAGGCATATATTCTCTTTCTAGGCTAAAGCAGAAATAACAGGAATTTGATCAGGATTCAAGTCATTCAATCATTCAAACCTCAATTGAATATAATCAAATCATATAATCTGTACTTGGGTTCATACAATCAGACCTAACATACAAATCTAGGGTTCTCCATACCCATATGAATGGGAAAACTACTCCATGGAGAAAGAAGCAAAAGCAGATTCAGATGCGGAAACCATACTGTGCAGGATGGGTTTCTGCTCCTGGTCGTCGATCGACACTTCTCCAAGCTCAAGCCGGGCTCCAATGGTGATGAAGATCAAACTAGGGCACTTGGAAACTCTGGTTCGTCGCTATCTCTCTCTAGGAATCGCTCTGTCTCTCTAAAACTCGGAACTCCCTTCTCCTCTACTGAAAATTGGCTTAAAACCAGAAAATCCCGACTCACACGGCCAGGCCACACGGCTGTGTGACTCCCCCAGCTGCCCGTGTGGGTTTGCAAAACGCGGCGTTTCGTTAAGTGACTTCAGGCTTCCTACGCGGCCACGACCCACACGGCCGTGTGAGTTCCCTGGAATTTCCAC